AAACATGAATATACTACACTACAGTTCGTCCTGTGATGTACTACCTATAGATCCAAGAGACGTACACGGATTGCTAGTACAGCACCGTAGATGCCTTCAAACCATTGCTTGAATTTGACCAAACCACATAGGGTACTATGTAATAGTGCTAAATGGGTTGTAGTGCCTAGCTTATGAGTAGGTCCCAAAATGATTAGGATTAGTCAGATCAAGTCATAGTATCAGTCTATGAATTCACTGATCATTGGATTGATTTGTTTTATTACAAAATTGTAACTTGCGATCGAAAACATAAGTGCTGTAATTCACAATTATTCTCAGTCACGCATCTGCGTTAATTCTTAGTCTCCCTTTAAATTTAGAGTTGAAGCATCATTTTCTACTTCACATTCCTTAATTTCACGCATTTCCTTAAAACAGAATTCTTAATGTTTGATCTTTCACTACTTATATCATTATTACAATAATCTGCCTTACTTTAATATGTTCTCTGGATTTAGTGATATCAAATTGTAGTACATTGAAACGACACACGTTTGTACCAAGTCCTATGTTATTTATCTAAAAAGTTTAGGTACTTGATAAGCGAATTTCGACAATGTTTTATTATCACTGCATATAATCATTCATATGTTTTACAAAAATAAATGAAAAATAATTTTTTTTTCTGTATTTGATGCCAGCACAATCAAACCCTGTATTTTGTTTCTGTAAAAATCATATACTTGATTGTTTATGCTTGTATTTAATTGAATAAACAACTGTGAACGAGTGCCTATTATTCTTGATGATAATAATAATAATAACATAATTACTGATCTATTTGAACTATTTTTGCACCCATACAAAGATCAAACTCTATCTACTTAGTAAATATTCAGACATTCATAGTAAATATAGTACAATTTGTAATTAATAATCAAATGTTATATATTGTCATTAATTAACTACAAGAGAAATATGTTGTTTCCAATAATATTTGTCACAACTGTTTGATATTTTCTTTTTTCCAAATCACATATTCTAAAAAAAAATCCCATTATATCTTCTGTATTTTATCTATTCCTAATTTTTTTGAAATTCTGAGGGGTCATAAGTCTAGCAGTGGAGTGTAGTTTATTTGATCATTCCAGAAGAGTCCTAAACAATAATTATTGCCATTCATATGATAGGGATTATAGAACCATTTAACGACCTTGACCACATACATATAACAAAATCGGATATGAAATCGATCTATTATGTGTTTTTTTAGATTTTTATTTTCTTTAATGAACCTATTGATTTAACTTTATAGTGTATTTTTAATCAATAAATTGATCTGACTGGATATCATTATGGTTTCATTTGGTTATTTGTTTAGTTTTCTTATCGTACACAATTTTTATCTTCATGAATTTTAACACGATGTAATTACATTTTCACAATGTTAATTCACGTTCAGATAGATTTTTTTATTATTTAAATAATAGAATTCATCTAACTACGATTAAGTTGTGACATAAGTAATAAAATTAAGTTTAAAAAATATAAAAAAAACTTACTAACTTTTATTCTTTTAACGTATCTTAGTTTTATAAGTTGCTTCATTAATATCTACCTGTGAGGTTGAATTTGATTTAACAGGATTTAATTAAATATGTTGAATTGCACATTCCCTTAAATCAATTAGTCGTTTGAATAGTAATAGTAATTACTAACAAGAACATATGGGTTTCGTGTTAAATAAATAAGCTAGAAAAGTACTCACTAATATGAAGTAATTGTGTCACTTAAGTAAACGATAAGATCAGTGATACTCACGTCATTGTGTGAAAAGTAAAAACAGTAAGATTACTTCGCTGCTCATATGGCTTACTTCTATGCACTGACTAGTATTCTTCGAGATTTATAGACACATATGTGGTAGAAACGTGTGATAGATAAATCGATTTCTTTTATCTCAACCTAGCAGACTATAATATCATAGCACTTTGATTTTTCATCAACATCAAATGGTTATTGTTATTCTGTTGTTCGCTTCAAATAATTTCTGCAGTGAATTTACAACAAAGTAAATAGAAAATTTTAAATGTTTACAAATATATATGTAGTTTTGTATCGCAGACTGACTTTTACAACACAACCGTTGAAAACCAGAAAGCATTCGGCAATTTTTTCGTCCTGTTATATAACACCTCAGTAGAAGGCATCTTCTTCCCACCAGCACTGATCGAATTAAAAACGTTTAGACCTTGTAGCCAGCATTTAGCTCATACAATTCATGAAGTTTTTATACAGTGCGTTGCATTTTTAACTTCCGTCGATTAGTGATATTTTATAACCATCGTATATTTCTATCGCTGATCTATTTCACATGCCTAATATAAATTATTCTATAACACTTAATTTTCTTATACAGTAATTTGATTTTATCACATCTTTCTAATGCTTTAAATCTTAGTTCTAATTATTCACTATTAATAATAATAATACATTAGTATGGATAAACCCTCATGTGAATCATTATTATCTAAGTCCAAAGATAATATTTCACACTGATTTAATGGTAAAAATAAACCAATTCCATAACAATTTGCCATGTTAAATAGTTTTATCTAATTAATCAGTGAACTTAATTCTGACCCTGAATTTTTATCAATACCGAACTGATCCACATCCTTCATAATAAATGTCAGTCGATTTTGTATTTCACATCTTACAATCTTTATTCAACTATATACAAACAAACAAATAAATAAAAACAAATATCTCTAATCCAAGAAAAAGAGAATTTAGTGAAGAAAACGTTTTTTACTTAAGCTGTATATTCGTATATATATATGGTTATATGGAAAATAAATGTCTATAGGAGGATAGAAAAGGTTGCCTGATAAATTGATTTGGGACTAAATATCTATAATCTATTTAAAATATTTCAATCTTATAACCCATGTTGAATTGACGCTATTGCGCTAATTTGTTTATTTTTATCTTTGGGCGGTTTTTATGTGAAACTCACTTAAAAAAAACTAAATTATTTACTGGGTCATTAAATTCATTCAAAAAAATCTTTTATTTTCCCATCCAAATTAGAAAAAAAATATTTGACTTGTGATCTTGATGAATACACCCTTAGACTAAACTGTTCATATGCTTTTTTTTGAAGAACTACTCTGATCTAACCTTATCATACCACTTGCATATTACTAAGATAATATCTTATATTCAGTCATCTGATGTCATGCTCCCTATATCCACAAGATTAAAGAATAGTTGTGTTCCTACTTTCACTGAAACTGATGTTCGAAAATGCTTCCAGTCACTTAATTCATCATGATGTTAAGAACCTGATAAAATCCTAAACCTCATTTTTAAAAAATATGCTGACGTTCTATGTTAGCCATTCACAAGCATCTTTAAACAGATCCTTCTCAACTAATCTGAGACCGAAAATGTAGAGACAGATAAAGATAACTCCGATACCTAGGAAAGTCTGTGGCAATAAAAATGTGAAATTCACACGCATAGCAATAACTTGACCTTTACTCAAATCAATCAAAAAATTATTGATACTCCCACTTCAACCTGCACTAAAAGAGCACATTGATCCGTGTTTGGAGGAAAGTGCTCAACGTCTTCATTGTCTTATGAAAGTGTAACACAAAGAACTGTTTTTCCCCTTTTCTTTCTCCGTTTTTTGCACGATCTGCAATCTTCCACAAAAAACACCTCTGTTGAATATGTGGACCATCTCACTGTGTGTATACCGATTTATACCTCTTTACATCGCATAGAAATGAATGCATTTTTGTCTCTAATTGAATAGTGATCTGTTGTTAATGGTCTCACACTTAATCCATCTGAATGTCAAGCTGTTAACTCTTGCCTGAGACATGAACAGCAACCTAAAATCACATTGGGATCCCGTAATATTTGTGCCATGGGGGACTCTTTGATAAACACAGTGTTGAAGGTCAGTTATCGTGGTGTTAGCTTTTCCTCTGATCCTTCTTAATTTTCTTCTATTTTGCTGTTATCAAAGAGCGTTTTCCGTCTGACTAACTACACAAGGAGGCTGCATGGTTTTCGGATTACTGGACATTTACCCTTACAAGTTGTCAATTCTTGCATATTATCTATTATTTTTTACTGTTCTACATTACTCTTTTCCCGTCTTTTGAGAAAAGACTTTGCTGTATTGTGGAGAGTGCTGAAGGCAGTTATCAGTGTGTGGTGGATCTTTTGAGGTCATTAATAATATAGTTTTGGATAGACATCTATAGTCTTGCGAACTCCTGACAGTTGTTATCTTATCAGATACAAACCATCCTCTGCACTCTCATCTTTCTCCTTGTATATTTCTGGTAGAACTAGACGTAAATACATTAAAATCTATGCATGCAAGCAAAGGTATAAAGTAATCTAAAATACTTCATCTGGCATATATATACTCTGTGACGAACAGATTGTTAAAGTTGATCTAATCAATTGCTTGTTCTCATAAAGTATTTTTAAATAAAAAATTGTAGAGGTTCAAATCTCCTTAAAAAGCATTTCATTTACTTCCGAGTAGTTTATCTACTCAGCTTATGCATATATGTATGCAGTTATCAGTTTCTTTCACATTTTTTTTTCTTTTTTTTTTGTAAAAGAAACATGTTGGAATACCAGGTACTGAGACTTCTGGACTGTACTAAAAATATAATATTGAATAAAGCCATTATTAATCATAATAAGTTTTCGCATTTTATAATTAGTAAATTATGTTTAGAAACCACAAAATGTGATGATGACTGTAAAATTCTGTCATATAAAAATGTAACATACTCGAACCTCAAAATAAAAGATTAATCATAACATGCACAATGTCTCAGGTTGTGGAACACTTCGCTAGATCATATAACACATAAGAATAATGATTCTTGGTTTTAATGTTTAATTATGTGGTGGTTTTGTCGATTTTTTACCTTATGTTTAATACTAATTGTCGTCTTCCACTTTTCTATTTTCCTAAATAGATTAGTGTTTTTCGTATGGGTGAAGGAGATAGTGATGAAATCGATATCACCATATTAACTGCTCTTTTACAAGGTGAGAAACATTTATTGTAAATCAAGTTTGGTGAGAAAAATGAGTTTAAAATTATTTATCTTCATAAAGAAATATCAAAAAAAGAACTGTGGAAATCCATGAAGGATTTAATAACTTACCCGATCCAGATGGATTTTCCTAAGTTTCAACTTGAATTTATGATCTGTAAAGTTCAACCACATTTGAGGTAAAATACTAAATATTCCATTACATTGGATAAAGATTGGGTTATGTTGTAAATAAAGTGAAGTTATAATTTAACTAAAAATTCGTTAGTTCTTACGTGTATCACGAAAAAAGGATGTCCTTAATTTGACTTCGTGTGCAATCATATCTTCAAAATATGCAAAACTGTTCACTAATCTACCTGACAGATTTATTCAATAACATTAATGAGAATAAAATATTAATGCAGTCCATTGTTATTAGGTTGTAACAGAATCTTTTAAAATGATTTCTTACTTTTTCATAAAGCTATTTAACTGAATATTTCTGAATACCCAGTAGTAATTGGTATGTGTATATAACCATTTTCTTAACCTCATGATAACCACCAATCTTATCTCTTTTAGTCATAAGAATTAACAAAACATTTTATTGATTTATGAAGTCTTCTAGAATTCATAATTTAACTAGTTATAACATAACATACAACAACTCATTAAATAGATTAGTTTGTATGAACTAGTTTGGTTTATTTCATAATATAGTTAATAATGAGAATGCTCCCAAATGCCCTGGTATGGCCGAGAGTGGGGAGAGTCCACTCTCCCACTCGAAATGCTCTCACATGGCCACGCGTATATAGCCTCTGCTAGGGAAGTCCTACTCGCTGCCTTCTCGTGGCGGGAGTGTTGTTTACAAAAATGAGAGGATGAAAAGCGAATGTCTGGCGCTTTAACCTGATCCCAAACCAATGGTGCACATGGGCTCCAGTATCCTGCGGGAACAAATGGCGTATGAACCAATTGTTGGTCACCGGCTTCCATGGGACTGTATCACCTTACGACGCTCCACTGCCTTCAGGTCAAAGGCTCAGGGTGTGGCCCTCTAAGAAAACCACCTGTTTCGGTCTGGTCACCCGGGCAGTATGACAGCCCTCACATATATCGAATGAGATTTGTGTGGTGCATATGTATTTGGTGCCTCTTTGTACCAATATCTATGTGTTAAAATAAATAAATAAATATATAAATAAATAATAATGACAATAAACCAAGCCAACAATAATTCATCAAGTTAATTCTATTGAATATACTTGACTGTAATAAACTTTCAAGTAGAAAAATCATTTAATCTAATTTTTTTATAATTTAGTTTTTATTTTTCAAAAAAAAGTGATATTCTCACTCAAAATATAAAATAAAATTCTTATATCATTTGATTAATATACATTTAGAAATGTTTTCTTTTGTTGTTTAACTCTACCCAAAAACTTTAGTTTATTTCTATTCTAATTCTTAATGAATTATATTGTTGTAATTATTGTTAAAAAATCAATGTATAAGATAGATTATTAAATAAATAGTTTTATTATCATCAGAGAGGAGGTTTTTGTGGATATTCTATCAATTTAATAGTTGAATTCATGAGTTGTCCAGTGTTTTCAGGTTTTCCATTGTGGTATAGCTTCAATGGACTTATGAATTCAATTATTAAATTGCTAAAAATCTTCATAAAACCCACTTTTGATAATAATCATCATATGTTCAGTAGAGGTGTGAACATCAACTCTGAGATGCAGGTACATCCAACTGATGAGTCCCAAACAGGACGAAACGCGCCTGCTGGATTCCACTGCTAGCCACTATCCATCTTTGCTTATAATGCTTGTAAATTAAGGCAATATCGAGGCATACGCACAGTATGCACATATGCCAATAAGAGACTGATCAATTTCAGTCCTAAAACATCAATGGGAAGATTCAAGTAAAAACAATATCAAGTGAATTAAACTTCACCCCATCGCACAAGCGAGTGGCTGTCAGGACTCAGTCAATAAGTGGATAACGCGATGGCGTTTGAAGCGAACGGTACTGAGTTCGAGTCCCAGAGTGAACATAAACTCTGAGATACAGGTACATCCAACTGACAAGTCCCAAATAGGACGAAACGCGCGTCCTGGATTCCACTGCTAGCCACTATCCATCTTTGCTTATAATACTAAACAGTTTATTGTTTTGTCTTGGAATTCATTACATTTTTCATCAGTTCTTTATGTGCATATTCTTTTCAAAATCTATCCGAGTTTTCCCAAGTCTTAATAATTTAATTAAGTGAATTAATTAGTTTCGGTTAAAATTGTGTCTGTGTGTTTAGTGACTTCATCTTCTTTTCTTTTGAATGTTTGTGATTTTGTAATTTCATTCCAATTTTTATTAATGATCACAGTAGATATCCATGTCAAGGTTGGACTTGATAATTTTAAATAAAGTAAGCATTGGATAGGAAGTTTGTGATAAAAAAATTTTAACTGTTAAATTCATGAGCTGGGTTCAGTAAGATCTCTACTGAAAAGCTAGAAGCAATGGACTGCTATTTTGCTCTAGTGTGAGACTCCTTAGCAGTGAGCATCTACCATCCAGTGCATGGGATCTGTATCGGACGGAAACAATTATCCACCTTATACAGTCGACGAAGGGTTGCAAAAAATCACGGGCCGATTGAAGTTAAACACTAACATCGTTAGATGCCGGCTCAGCGACCTAGAGGTTAAGTGTTGACTAGCGATACTGAAGGCCCTTAGTTCGAGTCCCGCGTGTGTAATCGTAGGCGCGCACTGCCGTGGAGTCCCACACTAAGACGAAACAATCGTCTAGTGCTTTTATGTTTTGAATAGTGACATAGCTGAGATCAGCGCATGAATCCAACTGTTAAAATTTCTACAACCTCTACAAATCCCCATCTTCATATTTGTGATATCCTTGATTTAAGTCACGAAACGTTACAAATCCAAATTTCTACCTACAGGAATATTACAAATATATCGTTATTTTACTAATAATAACAGTATTTGAATTTCTTTCTTAATGATGTTCAAATTCACTTTAGAACGTCTTTTATCACTGTACTATTACATTAAAAACAGTTAAGTCAAAGATGTCATAGATTAATTTATAATTTTGTTAGTGCATAAACCTTAACTGATATATAACGTTTTTCTTTTGGAGGAATCCATTAAATTGAATGTAAACAATAAAACATCCTCAAATCTTAAATAAACCAATTTAAGTACTCGGTAAAAATGTGCATCGAGTCAAGTTACTACAATTTAGAATAACAGACAACTGAGATGAGGGAAGTAGGGCATGGAAAATAATTATATGTAATCTAGTACAAGAATTATATATATTTATTCAAAGGGAATAAGTGAGTATGGAATGTGACAACAAGTTCACGATTGAAATGAAAATATGGAAGTTATCCAGCTGCACAACGGTGACTAATTTTGAAGCATTCTGCATGATGTCTGCGTTCACTGTATTGACTAAAACCAAAATGTTTACATCTTAACAAACGACTCTGTTCAGCAGTCAGTTATTAATGTTGCGTTTACATGTCTAAACATCACTTCATCAAGTAAACTAATTGACTGACGCAAAATCAGTGATCTATAAAAATATTTCTACAATCTTATTAATTCGATGAAGGCTACATTGTAATAACCTTATTGATACACCATATGTTATAAGAACATCACGTTCAATAGATTTAAGCTTCTCAGTCATTCGCCTGTAGGCTCTTATATTAAAATAAGTGTTATGCTCGGTAACATCACGGACTGGTTCTATCTATACAATAACTGACAAACAGTAATCACTGTGCACCTGTTTCGTCCTTGCTGTAACTCCTTAGACCTCCAAGTTAGTATCCAGTGGTTTATATGTCTAACTCCAACCAATTCACATTGATGCCCGACCACTATCCTTTGTCACTAATAATATTCTTCTTGCAAACTAAATGGTTGAACTCCACCAGTCAGAGCTTCTTTCTGAAACTTTAGGAATTCCCCATTAATGTTAATCAGTGCTGAGGTCTGCCTAATAGACTGAAGTTATAAATGTGGACTACTAGATGCCAATTCATTTATCTGATAATTAGGTGCTCATCGCCAGGCCTGATGGCTATAGCTTTGATGTGTGGTCGAATCGTGGATGCTTATCTCCAAGGAGGCTCATGCTAAGATCATCTAAATCGGTCAGCCACAATTCCAAAATTTTTACCTTCCTATGTGAGAATACCAATAAACAGATGAATCGTTTAATAAATAATCTTTTGTATTGCAAAAGAAAACTATAGGATTCTTCTATAGTACGAATTGAGGTCTTTCATTTTTCTGTTTATTTCATGCCTTGCGTAGATATATTTCGCAGTGCAATAGAAGCTCGTAACACTGTTCACTGTTTTAGAGAATCCTGGCTTCTACTTTCGCAGTTATTTCATTTACATAACACCTATAAATATCTGGTATTTTTTATAGTTTCAGGTCAAAATCTAACACCAGCTGAACAATTATCACTAACTATGGCATGGAATAGGCCAGATATAGCACGTTCTAAAGTATTTGCAAAGTTCAACAATTGGTCTGTAAGTTTTCAATATCCATTTTCGAACTTATTTTGGTGTTTATTAAAGTAAATCACTGCTATTATTCAATATGATATTAGAGATGTTTAATTGGTGCATGTATCACCTAACTTAAAATCGTAACTTTTTATTTCGTTCAGTCTTAGTACTGAAGGATACTGAAATCGAATGGATATTCCATTTCACACATTTGAAATTTAAGTAACATCATCGTTATCACGATCGACCTTAGGTAAATGTACTAAAGTAGCTGTAATTAATTTGATCAAACAGTTAAAACATTGGGCATTAACAATTTTCAAACTAATAATTTATTATCAATTTTCCTAGACTTCAGTTAACCACAACGAAAATATTGCTTGATTGGTTTATTGACACTTAAACTCTAATATGTATATAGACTCTATACGCAATGAAATTTTGAAAAAATTGAAAATATTACTCAGTTCCTTTGTATGTCAACTGTTACAGAAGAATATACTAAAAAGGTACAAAGTATTTAGTCAGTCAATGTATAATTTAGCGATCAATGGGTAAATCGCTTTTAATAACGTAACCTACTATACTTGTGGTGTATGCTAGTTATGTCAACAAACATAAGTAGTATCTAACATCAATCACAAGTGAAATGCATCGCAGCAGAAAGCTAAGAAGATAGAATTAAAGAAAACAGAATGGGAAATATTAAGAAATTGTGAATTGGAAGAATCATACAGAATGTAAGAAACAATTGATGGAATATTTTCCCAGTATGGGACTCCTCAGAAGTGCGCATCCACGATCCCTTACCACGCGGGGCCCGAACCCAGGACCTACTGTCTTCGCGCGCGAGCACTTAACCATTAGACCACTGAGCCGGCATCCATACTAGGACGAAACGGCCGTCCAGTGCTTCCAGGTTTTCAATGGTGGTCTAGCTTCAACTGACCCATGATTTCAATCTGTGAAAATTTCTAAAAATCTCCACAAACCCCTTCTGACAAAATAAATATTTTAAAATAAATAAATGAATAAAATAACCCAAATAACCAACAACAACAACAAAAAAGAAAAATTGGATTACCAGGGTAATAATAAGTTTATTACTGTCTCTTTTTGAGTTCATAAATCCAGTTTAAGTTTTTTTTTATCGTAATCGCTTCAGCGAAACGTAGAGTAGTCGTATTTCTTTGTCTATTGATAATTTTAAAAGCGTGCAAAATGTTGACGGTATACCCGGTTCTTGCTTTATTTGATCTAAGATTCATTGAGCATCTACTTTCAATAAACAAGAATGAAATTAGCTTAAAAATTCGATTAAATATTAATCTTTCAACTCATTAATATTGAATTTCGATAAAAGGTTAACTTTAATTAAATTCTAGTAAGGTTCTTTCTTTAAATTTATAACGAGAATTTATTTGATAATATAAAAATAACATTATCTAGCGAATTATATCATTCACACGGTCTATGACTATCATAATTTGAAATAATTTATGCATTTTTCAATGTTCAGAGTTCATCAATTAAAATAGTTATAGATTAATTTAGATTATAGAATGGTAAAGTTTATCTTCGTATATAGTACTTTAAAAAACAGAAATATTTTTATGCCTCATTCACACTCACATAGTATTTGACTATTTAATTACTCGGTTCTTGGAGCTAATCGATCAACAACCTTTGTACTTACGTTTTATACTAGTCAGAACATACTGTTATGTTCGCGAAGAATATGTATCTTCACTAAAATAGATTATCAGGTGTGTGAATTACTCCCTTTTTCACTGTTACCTATTCTCAATAAAGATAAAGCATCTTTTTTAATCGATAGCCAACTGACTTTTTGTGTCATTATTTTTTTTAAAAACTAAACTACAGAAAACGACACTTGAAAATGCTATGGCTGATGCTTTATTAAATGATCGATTGGAATTTGTGCAGTTATTACTTACTAAAGGATTAAGAATTCAACGATTTTTAACTCGTGAACGTTTGGAAGAATTATATAATGTTGATGTGAATAACCAGTCTTTTCATAAATTATTTGCAAAAGTCCTAGGAACGAAACAGGTAAACAGTAGCTTTAAAGTGAATGCAATACATGTTGTTTTAATAAATTGTCCTTTTTTTAATCTTATATTTGTAAACATTCTATTGTTATATTTCATCCTTCTAGTTTTGAACAATGATACATGCTAAAATATTATAAGCACAATTTATACTGTTGTTTAAAAGTAAAAATTTGTTTATTTTTTCAATTTATTGAATATTTTATACAGTCAATTAATCAGTTCGCTTTTATACTGTCTTGGTAACTCATTATTATTATTCTGCACCAAGGAAACCTTACATATTCGATTTTGAAGATTCAGGTCTTAAATGATTAAACATAATTTACAAATCGTCTTTTATTCGTCGTTTTATGTGTCAATAGGATTAATAAAAATGAAATATAAGTCAGCTTGAATTTTACCTTCCTTCAGATTTGAATATCAAAATTTTATAGGGCATATTCTTGTTTCGGATTACTTCTTGAAAGGCTGATAACTACTTTAGATAATGTTAATTTCCAGTGGTACATAAGGGTTATGCACAACACCAAGAACTCATAGTATAATATCTCTGACTGACAAACAAAATGAAACATTCCGAAAATGGCTAACTATGAATACGAAAATAGATCAAATACAGTAGGATAACTATTTTCTGATATCCAACGATTCATCGTGATTTCAATTCTCATATATTCACAAGCGTCATATAAACCGAATCAACAATCTTAAGTTAACATCTTGACCTAGAAAATATGATATTGTCTTCTCTCTAATGATAGTTCTACTAGATGCCAAGTCTTTAATTAAATAATTTTTTGTCAAGATATACGCTCTTCAATGATTTTTATTCATAATAAATATGGAATTCATGAATTATAGCATTAAGTACTAATAGCCTATATATATATTATTTAGTTCTTAGTCTTGATTAAATTCCACCAACTGCCTTAAATCATCTAACATTAGTATTAACTTTTCTATTACTTATCAAAACGTTTATTGCGTTAAATTACTTTAAGGAAACTGATAGGTTTTTTTTTCAGTCAAAATTCTATAATAAACAGAAATATTCTTATCTGAATATATGATATTCAGTGTATATGAAACTTTGAAAACAATAATTTTACCAGAAATCCAAGCAAATATATTAAACTAAACTCAAGTTAATTAAATTTTAACTCATTAGTTCTAAGCGTTAAATGTTAGTCACAAGATATGAAGGTTTCTTACTCAATCCATGTTGGGATTTTTGTTAACATGTAGCAATAAAATAGCTGTACAATTAACTTTAGTTTTCATCAATACCTTAACTTATATTAATTCCTACTGCAAGTTACCTAGAAATAAACATCTAAGAAAACTTTAAAAATAATAAACTATTGATGATATCTGAATGTTATAATCTTTTTTTTTTAAAAAGTTGAACACAGGTTTATCTTATAACAAAGTCAATAATACAAAACTATTTTACACATCGTATTAATGTACAACAGTTATGTATACAAGGTCAAAATAAAAATATTTAGAGGGCATACTACTATAACTTTTTTTTTTCAAGACTATAACTGACAGACTATAATAAACATTAGTGTGACTTCACATAGAATTACCGAATTATATATGTATATATATATTATCTTCGTGCTACAGCGGATGTTTAAAATATGCTTCTCACTTTCAACTATACTACGATAATACGTTAAAATTATAATAAGACTAATCAGGTTACATCAAATTCAGGATTTATGACCCTGAAAAGAGTACCAGAATATAGACTATATAGCACTTTATTCAACACAATTACAATTAGTCACTCTTAGTGAGTCCAGAGTAGAAATCAATAAGACGCAAGTCAGTCAATCAACTACAACGTAGGATCAGAAACATACATGCAGCAATCCAAGTTGCTAGACTTCATTTGCACAAGATGGACACCGTATTCATAGAAGCAGTTACTTCAATGGTAGTAAAAAACATCACATATAAGGATATGATACAGCTACTGTTGAATGAAGATTACTAAATAAAGATGAGCAATTATTTGATGAGTTAGTGAGTCTTTATCTACTGGAGTGGCTGGGAGATGTATTATGTATGCTGAACCACATGTGAATAGACAATTAATATTTGATGGGGTAGGAAGGAATAGGTTGTAAAAAGGTTATGAGCGAACAAGCCAAAATTTGACATTTCACAAAGCCACTGACTTTTGAACTCAGTGAAGTAAGTAAATGCAGATTCTTTGAATAGGGTCTTCACAATCATCATACTTAAAGGCTGTAGAGGTTGCGTATTATTGCTCAGACACGATCTCAATGACTAAAATTCGATCATTCTTTGCTACTTCACTAGCCGAGATAAATCTTTCTCATCCAATTATATTTTCTGTGCCTAATTGTTCGTACTACCTTTGATCCTAGTACTAATCTTATCACTGGGATTTATTTTGATAATTTCAACTCGCTGTTCTATTGTAGGGTGGGTACTTGAGCTAGGTTCTACATGTGCCAAGTTCTACAGTTTTTGAATAAGGAAATAAACGAAGTAATAATCAGAGAGATTTCAGAATATAATTTCAGAGTATCTATCATTGTTAAATAGAAATGAGTCAATGATAAGTTCTATGTTTGGATCTTATTTTCTGAGTGTTGTCCCAATAAGAATAATGAGTGGTAATTTTTTGGGATCCATTAGTGGATCAATACTATGCGTATAATACGTATAACTGTTAATTAACTAAGCCATTCATATTCATTTCTCTCTTATCATAAACTTTATCATAACCTATGAACTGTTATTATATGATTTTCCATTCTTGAATTACTTCCTGTCTATTAATCGCTACCTCCTATATTCACAGCCACATTTGGCTAAATCTTGTACAAATGTTATTTTCCATTTTATGGTACGATGTGGTCTGTCTGGTTGGTATATAAACCCAGTATGTTTTAAATAAATGAATCATATAGGTGAGGCTGAGATTGGTGTCCTGAACTTACCAGGAAGTCAGGAAGCAGGACTAATAAGTACTCTAAACTGTTCGTACGTGTTTTATGCGTCACTGGTCCTGTCGATAAATCACTGTTCTTTAATTGGTCACAAGTTATCACACTGATCACCCATATTTTTTTTGGGGGGGGGGTCTCACAAACCTAAACACCATATAAGTCATTACTAAATTGTCCAACTATGTTTTTGATTTAACAGTGCCATTATGTCATCGTCGCGTATAACAGTTTTATGTTGTTTATGTTTCTGTTATCGCTTCTCATGGTGCGGATGACTTGAAAATTTTGAATTTAGTATGCTTATTGCATAATGTTGATTTTGACATTAATATTGCTTCCTTTTACAACGTATTTGTTAATATTAAAAGCACATCAACTTCAGGTTTGAATCATTTCTATCTCTGCTGCTACTTTACAGTAAATAGATATCTAATAGGAATACTCATGTTACATTTTAATAATAATCGTTATTATTTTTGTCAGTTACCATAATTTATATTAATACCATACACTTTTGAAATATCATTTTTAATTTACAGAAAATTACATTACGATCAGTTGGACAATTAATTGAGAATTTGGTCGGTGGTGGTTATCAGCATTCATATTGTAGTAAACCATCCACAGCAGATTTAATGGGATCACCTAATCATGGTAACGGTTGGCTGCCGAATGTTAATGTCACATTTGCAAATAAGCACGGTTCAACAGTTTCGGTAAGTTACAAGTATATTCTTTAAATTTAATTAAATAGTTAAATATTTTTTCTAATCCTCGAACAGTGGACCAACAAAGAAACAGAGTGAGTCAGGCAATCTTTTTATTTGCAATTTAGGTGGTTTCTCGTAGTTAGCAAGAAACCTTGAAACCACGTTTCATACTGGCCGTCACCAGTCGACAAGTCGTACTCGCAATCTATAGTAAAACGGGCGCTATCTAACCTCAACCTGAGACTTTATCACATCTTTAAGCTAATCTCAATCTAGCTCTTGTAAAACGGAGATACAATTTCTGATTAGTAACTAACAGTATATTTGTCAAGTCCCTTAACCTTAATAGAACTATATCGACCGCTTTGTAATGTGGCCCCTAGTCTTTGTGACATGAATCTATGTGTATTTTGTTCTGATTTTTGATGGTTCAGGATGGCTTTCAGAAAACTCCTAACGTCATTGAATAGAGTTTGTGAAGATTAAGCGTACACAATGAAGCCTGAGTTCCTAAATTCAATATTGTTTCGTATGAAAACGAATGTTTTTCGACTGTTATGTGAAATAAGTTACAACTTTGTTATATTCTTGTTTTATGTTAACTAATCTCTTCATATTCTTTACAATAGGAACCAGTGGATAGTAAAACTTCCCGTTCAAGTAATATTCTAAACAATACATCAGATAAATCGATTCCACCTTGCACATTAAATCCTGGATCAATATCTAATCTAATCACTTCAAAAGAATTAGTTACACAACACATAACAAATATTATCAATCGACAACATACTTCACAACAACATGTACCATATTCAACTTCATCAAATGATATTAATCAATCAAACCGATATTTTCGTTATCCCTATACTGAATTATTACAATGGACATTGTTAACTCGACGTTTAGATATGGCTAAATTCTTAGTTTTAGCTGGTGAAGAATCCGTTGCTAAAGCAAGTGTTCTAATCAGTACTATTGTTTTTCTATTATATTTAATGGATTTTTACTTTCAACAAATCAGCTAGGTTGTATTGACTATAGTATTAGTTACAATTCGATTGATTATATAATATCCAACAAAATGTTAAATGTAAAACGTTTTAGTAAAAGCTTAAGATTACTTTTTAAAATAATGAAGTTTCGTGTACTGTGTGACCTCATGTGATCCAGTAACTCTCAATGTCCTAAAGGTTAGTAGATATATAATTATATTTTCTTTTTAACTACTGTTATTACTAATTGAGAGCGACTGGGATATTTTTATAATACGAAATTGGATCTATGTAAAATCGATAGATCAGGTAATTGGCACACAACACCTCAACAGTAACCCTCAATACGCCTGAAAATAGAGTTTGAGAAAAAGCTCCGATATTTGAGAAGTTAAAACCTTAGATGAACAATATTACATGTTTAGTGACAGACAACAAAAATAGCTAACTAAAAACAAGAGCGATCAATCGAATAGCTGTAAATGACATTGAGGGAATATGAATAGAAGAAATATTATCACAGTTATTTTTACATATAAAAGCTATCATTCATTGACAACAAACCAGGTAACTTGAAATCTTACTCGCATATGTATGTGAAAGTTTTTATTTAACATTTGTATTACCTATTTTTCAATGTTTTAAGTTATGAATATTCAATTAAATTTAATTGGTATTATCAATTGACAAGAGTTTTATACCGCAAATGTACCAGGTTATCTAGGTGATTTGCTCAACTAATGAATACGCGTTACTGTTCAGTTTAATGCTGAACCACACAGCCTCGAATTTCGCTTAAAAGATTTTGGTTAGTGAGATTCTTTCCCCCAATAACGTTTGAATAATTTGATATTGACTGTCCTCTAAAGATCAGTTAGTACTGAAGCAGTTGTGTCATAAAAGGCTATTCTACTTAGTTATTTAAATATCTCATCTTTCAAATGAAAATAAGTTTAATAAAAACATCTCCTTTAAAGTCTGATGTGAAAACATGTAAAGTATTACTGAATTACAAATCTTCAAAGTTGGAGTTCAAACTTCACAGTAATTTTGAAAAGAGCTCTTTCCAAAATGATCAAGGAAACTATGTGTATGAAATGAAGATACTCGATAATTTTGTAGTTTACACTATTATATGAGCCGTTGCAATATGATCGTATTAAAGTAAACAGTGAAAGTTAAACAATTCGGATTGGCAAACTACAGAGTATTTATATCAAATATTTAACTGTGTTCCCCTTAGATAGTTGATTATCTGGAAACCTATATATTTCTCTAAGTGTCTTAGATCACTATTGATTAATTAAAAAAACGAATGCATACAATTTGATCAAGAAATAATCACTATTACTAATGAAAGTTAGTTTACAAATAATCAATAATTCTTAAGTAAATACATGATAATGTTCTTTTTATTTTCATTACTTTTTTATTATGTTAAAAATAGGCATTGTTTTCAGTGAAACTATTACGCAGTATTCGACATGTTACTTTAGATGAAGAAACCGATATTGAATTGCTTAATGAATGCCGTTCACATGAACTGTAAGTAATATACAATGTGTCCATTTTGAATATGTTGAAACGACGAAGATTTTCAGTTTAAATAAATGTTTTCGATAATTTTATATTTTACGAGTTAGACAGTTTAAATGCAAAACTATTTTTATCCCTCTTGACAACAATCAGCAGGTACTTCATGTAAAAGTGCACATTTTGATTATTGCTCAGCTATTAAGCCAATCTGTTTTAACGACCTTTTCTACTGGTTTTCACAATGTTATTTATTACTTTAATATGTCCTGGTTGATTGTTCGTTTTAGTAGACCTCTGAACGTGTGATCGGTTGAACTTTTCTTCTTAAATTGATATAGTGTATTTATGTAGATCCAATTGTCGATTGCAGATTGATCTAAATGCCATACTTCTACCAAACGAGTATATTTCCTGAAATGCTAACATTACGTAACATCGATTTTCTTTCATTTATACAGGTAGTTTAATTGATGAATACAAGTAGCCAAAACCACTACTATTTATTCCACTGAATTTAGAGTGTGGTTAAAAGTTATGCTTAGTTATGAAAACAAAATATTGTCCCTCCTGGAAAGGTCAAACATATCAATATTTTCAGTATATCTACTGACAAATCTTTACAGTAGTTTCGTATTAGGAATTTATAGCATAACAGCCTATATCTTATAGCTTTTACGTTACTCTATGTTTCATTTGTTTCAAAATCAGTTTAATAATTGTATTTTATTGTTACTATTGTTAATTAATTAGAAGCAATTTATGCAATGATGTCGTGAAGGCGACTACATTGAAATATTTCATAAAGTAATTATAAAATAAATAAATTCATATAATTGGTTCCCTTTATACATCTAAAACCAAAAACTGAGGCAAACTAATATAAATTCATTTTATTTCGTTGTTTCTGTCCAACTGTTTACAATCATATTTGTATAAAAGTATAACATTGGTGTAATGTAATATGAATTTATAGAAATTGGTAATAGAAAAAACGAAATAACAAAGATTGTCAATAATAACTATATGTACAACCATGGGTGAGGTCAGTGGAAGACGGAAGTCTATAATTATTATTTCAGTGTGTTTATTTTTTATTACATCTTCTCTAAGCCAATCGTTATTTCATACACGCTAACAGTTTCATTCACGTGTGTTTTTTATGTACTTATTTTTAAAAACTTACATAGAATCACTATCTCTCCCTTATATGTTACTGAATTCCGTCTTCCAATGACCTCACCCATAGTTTTATATATCTAGTTATTACTGACAATTTTTGTTATTTTGATTTTTTCCGTTATATTATTCTGCCTGAATTGTTGTTTTTGCTTTGTTCCTCGCATCATCTTGATGTAATTACACTTTTATCGATCCACACACATCTCATTTTACATGTATTCCTATCCTCTTTTTTGTTTATTAACGGTTCTATCCACTTTAAACACATGATAAAGAATTTATCAAATATTTTTTGTTAGGTTCCTGGATAATTTAATTAACATCTCACCACTACTATTTTCCGTTTGAGTAAATGCTTTTTTTATTAGCCTTTACTATTTGTTTGCTAAATATTCCATGTTAGAAAGTTTATTGTTTAGGCTTTTTCTCAACAAGTATTTATATTTTGTGAAATATTATTGTAGAATATATATTTATCATTTCAAAAACGACTTTCATAACTGAAAATGAAAACTTTTCTTGTGAAATATGTAAGTCTTGACACGTTCAGAATATATATTTTGCAGAGTATTCGACAAAAGATGATCTAAGTTGATGTGCCGGTAAAAATCAGATAACACTGAGTAGCTGTTTCGGTTCTGCATTGGAATTTCATACTATACAATTTAAACCCCACCTGGGGGTCGAACTCCAGCACTTGCAAACCTCTCAGAGATCACTTAACAAATAAAGCCACAAGATTGGCTTTCAGTGGTACAATTTCAGTTTCAATCAATTTGATTATGAACATAATTGATTAACTCACTCATCAAGTACTTGTGCACCAACCATCATCTGATTTTGAGGGCTGATGATGCTACCCGGTCTCTGAAATCGAATTCGGGACTTCGTGGTTGAAAGTCGAGCGCCTTAATCGCTAGGCCACCGAACATAACTCAAGTTCCAAAAGACTCTTACTAAATCCCTTCAAAATTAATTCATAATCCATCAACATTGGTCATAAATTATATAAAAATCATTTACAATATGTTTTTCTATGCAAGATATATCATTCGATACCACTTAACTATATTATGTTTCCTGAGTTAATCCACTTATTGGGAATGTTCGTGTATATGCTGAATATAGGAATATCCTGATGATCGAGAGAAATTGGCAACCGTTTCTTTCTTATTTCCTTACTCCTAACAATTAAGCTGCCTCGATATCCGACCCCAGTATTATCAAACCCACAATCTTTAATTCTGACAAAGAACAAAATACTGTGAAGTTTCTTAGAATCTGTTATATTTTAACCAATATACATCTTTATTAATCTACAATTAGTTAACTAACTATCCACAATCAGCTTGATTGATGTTTATTCATTCTGAATGTTTTCTGTAATAAGACAAATTTATCTTTTCTTTCAGTAACAATATGAATTTTTGTGCAAAAAACCCAATTAAAACCCATCAAAAAACAGTCATGGTAATTGTATATACAGATAAAAAGACTTATGAAAAATGATAAGTTCTTTGATTCAAATATCTTAAAGTCTAGTGTGCTGAAGTTGAATGCGTAGTTGCTTCAACCTATTACGGAACACATCAGAAGTGAAGAAAATTCCAGACCGAACGACCTTCAAAAAGATATTACACCCTACATTACAAATTGTATTAAAATTATAGACAACTGGGACCTTATCCGATACCTTAAACATCTAATACTCCCGAGATAGATCTCACCTAGCCAAAACAAAACAGTTATCTATTCTCAGAAAGGGGTTTTGTGGAGATTGTAGTAATTTAGTAGTTGAATTCATGAGTCGATTAGAGCTATACCACCATGAAAAACCTGGAAGCACTGGAAGGCCGTTTCGTTCCAGTATATGACTCCTCAGCAGTGCGCATCCACGATCCTGCGCGCGAGATTCGAACCCAGGACTTTCGTCCTCGCGCGCGAGTGCTATTTATTTGTTTGCTTTAACTAATTATGTTTGTCGTCTGCATGTACACTTGTATGAAGTCTGAAACCCCCAACCTAGCATGTAGATATTAGTTGCACGATGCAATTAAGGTCTACTATAATGAGAGAACAATCGGTCAAAATGTTTGGAAATGAAACCACTTTTGTAAACATTTTTAAATATTTTTATTAAATCGTCAAACTTGAAATTAATAATAAACGAGAATTTGTTACGGAACTAAGAATTCGTACCTGTTATAAAACATCTAGTATTGAAATAAGTGATTATAATTAGCTCGAAATGTCGTCCAATATGTTGGCTAGGGTACATGAATAATTTTCTTATTTTTCCAACTAGTGTTTATTCTTACCCACTGAGCCATTTCACTCTTATTCTCCGATTAATTTTAGTGCTTTGGAACGATTGGCTGTTGATTTACAAGATCATTGTTATCGGCACGATCAAGATCAAGCTAAACGTTTGCTCACATATGAATTGCAATCATTTTCAAAAAACACATGTTTAAGTTTAGCTTATATGTGTGAATCCAAAGTCTTCATTGGTCATCCTTGTACACAGGCAATATTAAATGATTTATGGTATGGTGGTCTACGTAAAGGTGATCTTGTCGGTGCTAAAGTAGCACTCATATTAATTGGATTAATAGTACCACCATTATATCCGTTAATCGCATTTTTTTTTACGAAAAAGAGTAAATTTCTTGAATTTAAAACTAAAGAAGAACTAGCTCAACAACCACAAACATTACAAGAACATTTGGACGAATTAGAGGATTCTTCAGAGTCAAGTTCCTCATCATCGTCGTCATCATCCTCATCGAGTTCCTCATCGCCTTCCGCTAGCAGACGATCTTCTGTGTAAGTTCTCGTACTCCACAAAAAATGCATACCACATATGTTTTTGCATTGTTTATTGGATTTTCAAAATGATTTATTACAGTTGAATTTTTATCTAGATTTTGACAAGTAGCGTTACACTTGGCAATGTTATCATTAGATTATTTAATCAACAGTTGGTTGTTCCCATCTATATTATCAATCGTTATACTATGAACCTACCTACATCGGAAGTTTAAATCGATTTCAAATCCACTCATCTATAAGCCCAGCCAACCCTATTTAATTATCTCGATAAGTCTCTCTATTCAAGAATTTTATTCGTTTATTCAACTCTTCAAAAATCTAGCCTTAATGAATCTCAGGATATTTGGAACATTTTTTTAATTAATTATGCTACTGTATTGATAAATCATGTTCTGTTTGATGTGTAAAATATAGCTTTCTACTATAATCAGGTCATCAATCATTGTTCAAGAAGTATGTTTTTTTAATACTGTAAAAATACTGGTTCTATTCAGACGTTGGTCACTTTTTGTTGGAGTATATATATTCTATCCTAAATCCCATAATCTCTCTGGTCTACAAAAACTATGATAATGCTATATCTAGGTGATCTAAATGGAATGCATATATACAAACAAGGATTGATAGAAACTCAGTTCTGATTATCAGCAACGTATAAATACTCATGATATGATAAATACCATACCGGTTAAACAAACTAACGGTTATTTGAACTCAGTAGTTCTATGGATAACGTTTTGGGCGATTAGAACAATAAATGATAGGTCCGAGTCCCAACATGGTCATTTAGTTGTTGAGTCCCAAAGAGAACGAAACCCATGTCCTGGATTTCACTACTATCCATAATCTGTCTATTCTAAATACTATTGAATTATTCCTTGTTGTTGGACCAAAACTAAAACAAGACATCTGTCTTTTAACGTCTTGCTTTAAATACTTTTTTTTGCAATTGATATTTGTTGTGATGAAATTTGTTAAGGTAATATCTGTTGTTTAGTTCAAACACTCATTGTTCATTAACTTTTCTATCACATCTTGTTGAATTATTCTCCTTTTCAACACAGTTATCATCCTAATTTACCTAACGAAAAACAATTAACTAATGAAAACTTTTTATCAAATCAGAATGTAAGAAAAGATAGTTTGCTTGATCAAGTACCAACGATTAGAATAAATTCACCTGCACCATCGGATACGTCAGATAAAGTGAGTTGTACAATCATGTTTTTCTAATGATAACACACATTTCTATTAAAATAGAGGATTGGTATATACCGTTCATCTAAGGGCTGATATCACGTGGAGAACCGTCGAATTACATAGAAATTTTGGTGGTTATTTTAGTCTAATTTAACATTAGCTCAGGAGTGTACATCCATAACTCCGTCAGTAAAGTCTTATGTCCAATTCCCAGTAGAGTTTTGTATATTTAATACTGAACAGTATTGACCCTAGGATAAAATATCTGCCAAATGCTCTCTAGTTTTTAATGTTTCTTTAGGTGATATTCGTCCTTGGATAAAAAAAATAACTTCAACTACACACATTACATTATAATCCTGTAAGCAAAGAATTCGTTTCAATACCATTTACTGTAATGTATCCTTGAAGTCTTTATAACTCAGTTATGAAACTAAAACAGTTAGGTTTTTGAGCATTTGTTTGAGCGAAACAACTGATACAATCAGAAAACATTAAATAATTTCACTTTGCTTGAATGATAAACGTTTATTTTTATGCTATTTACCTACAATACTGTTATACTTTCTATATAATTTTAAAACATCTTGGGTATTAAAAAGAAATACTCACTTTAATTATGTTCAAATCATTCAGCTGTGCTTTATACATGCATATATACAATTACAATTAGTACGAATGCGATTCACTTTCCATTCACAATGTAATCTTTTAACTGTCAAATGACAGATAAAACTATGTATTTTTGGTCGGTCGCTAGAGATTAGTCACTTTCATTGTGTATGTAGTCCTTTATAATGACTGCATTTCTTTTGTCGAGGTTGCAATTCAGTTACTCAGATTGGCACCAATAGAAAACTATTGCTTTACAGCAAACATTTTGTATACTTGATCCACTCTCGTGTTTTCTAATTCATAACTTTAATAGTACAGTAATAATGCTTCTGACTTGGAGGCTAACCACAGTAAGCTTAATTAGTTAGAGCAGTACAATCTTTTAGATTGCTATAAATAAATATTTTCAAAAAATCTATAAATATTTAGAAATTCCAATTTAAAAATTTGATGTCAACCACAAGCATTCATCTTACATCGTACAGTTATATATGCAATGAATTCAAAAAGTTGAATGTATAGTACCTAAATGTTAACAATTTACCTGGTTATAGTCCATAAGAAAACTGTGATCGGTAGTTGGAGACTTTGCATAATATGGCGTACAATCGATCCCAGCGGTCTATATGCATTCACTTAATATCCTTCCCTAGGTTTTGAGTTTCAGTATGCCTGAACACATAGCTTAGTCATATTCCTTCTTTTTGAATCGTATTTTTCAGTGCTCACTTTAAATATAACTGATATTACTGCTATTTATATTTCCTTTTACTTCCCATCATTCTAATTTCACCTTGTTGCGTTCATATACTAGAAAGAATTGGGGTAACAAACATTTATCCCGGTTTGTGTGTTTATTATAATTGACTGTTTAATTCATTTTAATCTCAACAGAAACAAAATTCGATTGTTGTATACACAATCCATGAAAAATACCAAACATATTATATTCTAATATATCATAATAATATTGATCAATGACGTAGGTCGTGGGTGTTTGGTATTAAAGAGTCCCGTACAAAGACGAAACGGCTGTTCAGTCCTTTCAGGTTTCCCATGGTGGCGTAACTTAGAACGGCTCGAGATTTCAATAACATTTAACGATCTTCACAACCCTATACTTACAATTTACATTTTTATTTGATACATACCAGTGGACTATATAGTCTGTATGTAATTTTCATTTAACCAGTGACTTCAATCTCCCTCAACACCGACTTCTCCATCTATTCACCTTTAATTAAGTTAATATACTTATTTCATATCGTCTCACGGAAAATAAACCACTAGAATTTATTCACTTTGTAGTTAAACAAATCGAACTACATTTGATATTTAGTTCTGCTTAAAATTCCTTGGTTTTTTATCTTGTTCATTTTGTTTTGTTATTCGTTTTCTTTTAAAAACAAAGCCGCTAAAATATTCATTTAAGTAGGTAACAGTTAGAACAAGTAATGTTTTCATACATTTTCCGACTAACCAACATACTACAGTAAATAACGTCACAAATAATGGTTAATTTTTTTCTGAATTTAATTTTGTCAAATTTTAGTTATTATGCAAATAGTTGATTGGTGGTGGCTTTGGAAAGAAGCTCAGAAACATGAAATTGAATTTTTTTTAGTTAAAGAATTGTTCTTGTCATTTCAACTGTGTTCCATGTCAATTAAAAGCATAAACAGCAAAGTATAAATCATGCAGTGTCTCCGTGTAATTATTTTCAAAGGTCTAACAATGAACATGTTAATTCAGTATTCAACATTTGCCTATTTTAAATTTGATCACAAATTCTTATGAATATTTCATGGTTATCACTAAATGTAAAGATTTATGTTTCCATGTTGTTGGTACTCTAAACTGAATTGATTCAACCAATCAATCTCAATTACTATACTGATCGTGTTTATTTGCTGGTTATAATTAGAATAGTGTCTGCAAGTGGAATTAAGTTGAATCTTTCTATATTCTAGTCAGTGGATCACTTAGTCCAGTACACCTAAGAGATTACGTTTTGATATTCAAAGTCTTGGGTACTGATTTCGAATTTTAGGACTAAGATATGATAAATCTTAACTATGAATAAATATATCTCTTCAATTCCACTAATATTCACTATTCATAATTATACTCCATAGTTGTTTTCTTATCACTAGGTTAACATATAACTACTTTTTTCACAATAAAAAATCTACCTCATTTAATTGCCTCAAATCTAAATTATTTGTTTTTCTTTTCTCATATTAAAAATAGCTGGTTCTTCATTCACATAATTCAAATAATGATATTATAACATCTAAATTATCAACTGAAATTAATCAACGAAATGATCATTTCGAACCGATAAATAATGTTCATGATTGGTCTCCAACTCTTAAATATCATTCAGAAAATACTGATAAGCTTGACAAAACTGATGTATTGTCGAATTTTCCATCCTCATCCAGTCAGCAATATTATAATGAATCAATTAATAATCATATCGATCATAAAATTAACCGGCAGTTAAACAATAAACAATACATATCAAATAATCTTCATACAGCAAAAGAACTAACCACACCGTCAACTCACCACGATCACACAGATGGTGGTTTACCATTTAAATCTAGGAAAAAGCGTGTAGGTTATTATTGTGTGTTATTACTATTGTGAATTTTGGTCTAATGTGTCAAATATTGTTTTGTTTTTTCATAATCTCAATTCAATTCTAATAAAAATCCAACTTTTACGATAAGAGCTTTTTAACAATGACCCATAAACACAGGTATACCGTAATGAAAAAATAAAGTGTATTGTACCAATAAATAGTCGCTATATGTAAGCCTTACTATAAAGATTTCTCACCACTCAGAATTCACTTGGTTGCCAATTCTATAAACATAGTAGTCAATATACATGACTAATGAATACATTCATGAGTACACTCATGAATACATTCATTTGTTTACTCTGAAGAAGTGACTTGCACTAAGTCACGAAACCCCAGAAACTCAAATTCCTATTCATTAAAATGTCACAGATACATAATTATCTTACTGTTAGCATTTTAACAACTGTTCGATTTATTTGAAATTATCAAGTCAAGCCTATGTTGATACTTCTGTTTATGAGAACAACAAACACCTTTGAATGTAAATATTCTTAGTTGGCGTTTTTGTAAACAATAATAAACATTATCGTAATGACACCATCACAATTTGAAAACATCCAGTTTCGAAGACACAAAACATAACTTTTGGCATCCATCCATAAGCCATAAATTGTATGCATCAGTTTGAAAAATTTATTAACTTTGAACTGGATTATTCTTTTTCATTACTATAGTGAACTTTTTGCTAGGGAGGAACTGATGTAAAATGTACTTTCAAAGACAAAAATCAATATTTTTGATATATAAGATCAGTATATTTATAATTGATCAATTTAAAATTTGATATTCAACAGAACAATTCAATATAAAAACTTGACGAAAAGAAAACACCCAGTTCGAATATCATAACTTCTTTATACAAAATATAAGTAATATTGACTGGACGTTGAATGTTGATTTCATTGATTCCCGACAAAAATTGCGATCATTATTATTTAGACTTATAAAAAAAATTATATCTTGGTATTTTTCTTAACAGCCACTCATGACACAAAAAACTAAGCCAAACCTATCTGTGAATGTTACATTCTTTTGTTATGATATTATTGCTGGTAATAGATGGATGGATGACTAAGTAAACTTTCATGCTTTCGTATTGTTTTCTTTATCTAATGTTCTCTCTCACTCTCTCTCCATAGATGGTTTCTGACACCATAAATGGCAATTTGCAAGCTGTTCCTACAGTAAAAACACTTCCAGCAGAAATGAATTCAGCGCACAGATATCGTTGTGAACCGAGTAAGATATATTTGGCTGACGATAACATATTTTAGTTAGATATTTTATGTAGTTTCGTCGAACAAACTCAAAAATGTTTACTATTACAGCTTTTTATAATTAGTTTTTGTCTGACATATAGAAAAATATTTTCTAGAGTGATGTCTTGTACATAGAGAAAATAAGTAACATTTGATTGAATAAAGGAACCTATTTTGTAGAAGGGTTCTAGTGTATTTAGAAAACAACAAACTCTTTAATAGTCAGACAGATAAAATAAAATACAAGCAGTGAACAGATGGTTCACATAGCTCAATAGGAATGCTATAAATTTATTTATCCAATGGTCTCCCCACTTTGAACCCTACTATGATCAAGACCCTCCTTTAAACACAATTATCAGTGTCACTCAACTTGAATTTCCTGGGACTATTCAACTTAGGAGGTAAATAAACACATAAACAGTTTATAATAATCCGCAGTTGATTTTTATGAAGAGATGTGGAAAACTTTATTGCATCTAAAGTAATAAAAATACTTTTTCTTATATATGAAGAAAATAATAAATGTCGGTTTACCGGTTGGTAGATTGATTATTATATTTTGAACGGTTCATATTTGACAAGGCCGAATGATGTTAGATATTTGAAGAGAATTATCATAAAAAGGCTTACCATTTTACAGTACATATATGACATAACTACAGCTTAATTCATATAAAGGTGAGCATTTTGATTATTTGGCGTGTATCAAGTCAATTAGTTCTGATTACGTTGTTTCCTACTGGTAGTCTTGTAAATGAAGTAAGCGGTAATAATGTTGTCCAGAATGATAATGAAAGCCTAACTAAGTCATCTAGCTAAGAGAGAATAAAACATCATTAAATTTATTCATCTGAACCGTAATTTTTTTTTTCCATCAGCTTTGAATATAACTATTATCGACTTCAAAAGTTCTAAATATTTTATACAATAATATTTCATTCTGAACTGATTTTCTACATATTTATATCCTCGCTTCATCATACACGTTTGTTGAGGAATTTTCGCTCATCAAATGGTCGAGTGTATTCTCAACGACACCTATGGTTCATTTCACGAGATTTCAAATTAAAGATAATCAAAATATTTACAATTTTCCTTCAGATTTATTTAGTTCCACATTAGTTAATACATTCAACTTAATAGTACTCTAACTAATAATGAATATCATTCATTTAAGTACTATTACAACATACATTTAAGCAGTTTGCATAACATCAATACTATTGTATTATCATCTTTAATCATATAAGTAGAGTTCATTAAAAATAGTACGCTAATCAACCAATAAGAAACACTTCAGTTCCATTCTCAAAAAGAAAAAAAAACAAATCATATAATAACTAGCTTACTACACATATCCAAAGATTAATCATTTACTGTCATGATGTAATCAACTTCTTAGTTTATTTATTTCGTAAATTCAGAAACTAGTTTTCTTTTTAGTGACAGTTTTCATTCATTTTTGTCAATTTACCATAGTCTTTCTTTTTTTTCTTTCCTTTTTTTTATAAAAAAATAACCTGCTTTAATCTCCAAGAGAACAATGAAATAAATATAAATATATTCATCTTAATTTGTAATTGAATAATTCAATGACTAAATGACATTTATCATGTTATCACTATGCTTTTATTGATTGATTATTATATTTACATATTATAATTTAATTATTTAATTACAAAATAATATCCATCATTTTAATTATTTATTGAAAATAATTTGTTATTGTTTTAGATTATAAATCAGCTTATCCTTTGACAACTATTAAAAATCATAAATTATCACAATCTTCTAATAATTTATCACAAACTATTCCACAATCATTTATTCATACACCAAAACATAGTTATTCAGATCGTAATTTTAATGGTTTACATCATGAATCTAAAAATCATATACGTAAACAACGTTACACATTTCATCCATATTCAACAGCTTCAAATACATCTCAAAATGCAGCTTTAGCCAGACATGCATTTCTGTTAAGGTAAGTTGTGTTGTGTTTTTTTTTAAATTGTATAAATAAAAGTAAACTATTTTGATTGATGATGAGAAAGTTTGTATATCAGTCGGTCATTCATAAATCATTCTGAATAGAATGTGTATTGATCCAAGTTATCACATTTGACCTCAATACTAAAAGAGATAAACTTAATTAAATGTGAAGTAAAATGATAAGAATAATGTTAACGTCAACGAAGACTTAATCAGATGTAATGATAAGGAAATGAAGCCGAAAATATCTATAGGAAACCCATGTGAAATGGACAACTACCAAATTTCCACAGTTGGGTTCCCATCAGCCGAAAAAGAAACTTAGTAATAACTCTCTCCACAAGAATACGAAGAATCTGTAGCCCCGAGGTCGTAGGGGAAGAATTGAGCCTTTTAAAAGAGATAAATATCAAAAACGGATATCCTTCTATATTCATTGATAAGAACATGAAGCCGAAAATGCCAAAACCACAAATAATTACAGTAGAAAAGAAGATTTTGTACATGAACATTGACTTTATAAGTGATAGAGTAGCATATACCTTAAAGAGGAGAATTTCGGATTCTTTAAAATGAACATTCTTTGCAGCAACATTGCGAATATTATTCTCCAGCCGATCACTGTTCATCAATAATCTGAAAGATAAATTATCGCATCTGGCCAACTCAATGTGCATTTACCAATTGATCTGCTCTTGTGGAGTCAGGTATATAGGTCGTTCGATGCGTACTTTATCCAAAGGAATTCAAGAACATTGTCCGGCGTGGCTAAAAAGAGGAGGCAACGGCTCAATAAAAAGTTCTATAATCGAACACCTTGTGAACACAGGTCACTCAATCAAGACAGATTCTGCGTTCAAAGTCATCTACAAGGTAAGTTGAAGCCTTCCTAAGACAATTAGACTGCATCTTCTTTGCATTGCCGAGGCAATAGCCATACATTTTGAACAAACAAGAATTACGTGTACAAAAGAGACTGATACAACCTCTTCTTCTACCATGGTCTTAATATATTAAAATTTTTCTCTTTCTTCATACTCTTGTTCCCTTACAGCCACCACCTTCACCTTCCATCTTCCCTTTAAATTTTCTACCCCCAACTGGTTTGTTTTTATTTCCACAATCATTCCGATTACATTTCATCTCTGTTTCAACATTTTATGTTATTTTATCATGCTGAGCCATCCTTACCCGACGAATACTTAAACCATTAACTATCAAACGATTATTAAACTTTCCTTGTTTTTAAAAAAAAATTTCTAATACCTTTGTTTATTTAACCTCACTGTCACCATGTTTAACAGAAGTTTATTATCAGTATTATTATCACCCTATAGGAAGAAGTATATATATTTGCGATTGTACAGCTTTGAAAATGAAAAAGAGAACTCTTCGCTGAACTAATCTTTCTTATTTAATGTCATAATAGGAGTATTCCGTTTAGTAATGTAGTTCAACAAAGAACGTAAAATAAAAAAAGTATTAAGTGATAATAAACTTAATATTTTCCAAAAGATAAATACTTAACTTATCTGTGCTACTGTAATTAATTTCGGAGAATGTCGCTTAATGGTTCTAACCATAAATTAAGATTATCCCATAAATTTGAACTCATGGTAAGCACGATATCACTCAAACAATAAATTGGAATACACATTTTCAACTCAATTAAACAATGAGATCTCCAGTCAACTTCATCAGTATTTAATTACTATCTCACTACTGACTTGTATCATTTGTAAGAATTACAGGTCCCCACAACAAATTTAAGAAATCTGTTCAAAGTACACTACTGAAGTTTCTTATACATCTTAAATCTTATTTATTAACAACCCACTAGACACAGATTCGTGTATCACTTCTAGGCCGGTGATTTTACTTACTTTCCCAGACGGAATTAGGTCGAACAGGATTTGAACCTTGCTTTTTATTTAGCGTCTAAGAGTCGAATGCGTTAATCACATATACTTTGCTTCATTCCTCAGCTCTAGAATTTATATAAGTTCACTTCTGAACATAGTTATCTTTAAACTATACAACTCTTCACAAATCATTCTCCTATATATGCTGTTATTGTATTATAGTCATTTTTGTAGAAACAATTAATTTGTTTGCAACATTCTTATTCTTTTTAATTGTAAGATCTAATTTAGCTGCACTTATTCCATCAAATCATTATGCATCAGTAGCTGCGTCCAATGATTTTCAGCAACGTCGTCGATATGAACGAAGAAGAAACAGAGCTTACAGTAATCCCGATGAAAATGATACAAATAAAATTACACAAAACATAATCAATAGTAAGAAATTATCAACAACTAATTGTGATGTTGTTTATGTATCATCAATCCCAACCATAACAACAATAAATCCATCAATATTTACTCATAATTATCACAATAAACAGAATAAATTAAATTCTACATTAAAAGATCATTCATTTTCTTCATTAAGTTATCATCATCGTAATGGACAATGGATACCGTGTGATTTATCAGTTGGATATGATTTTCAATCAACAAATAATCATGGTTTACAATTATCATGGCGTAAAAAAGTTTATGAATTTTTTAGTGCTCCTGTAACACGATTTTATTTACATGTAGTAAGTCTAAATTATCTGTGTGCGTGTTTCATTTCCCATATTATTTTTCTTTGAACCTCTTCAGCAAACAAATATATCAGCTGATTGGTAATAGGTTGATAAATTTAAATTTTCGGTAGAACTATGCTTTACCAATGAAACAGTCAGATTTAGGATAACTGGTCTTTGAATTACTTTTTCTTACAAAATTTAAAACAGAACGACAGATAGTTTGTAATTCATTAAAACTTAGGTAAAATCTACTAATATTTAATTATAAAAAATTCTTAAAATCAATGAATGAAGAAAAGAACAAAGAAAAGAAACAAACTTGAACGGTTCTCAAACTAACCTTGAGACAAAGAGATTGATTTTCTAAGGAAAATGTAATGGTAAAGAGATAGAATTAAAAGGTATGTAACATTTTATGTGAAAATTATATTTGAAATATTCTCAGCGATTGAAATTTAACTAGTTCTAACGTTTTGTTCAGCTAACTTGTCTGAACTTCTTTAGGGTAATAATCAAAATCAAATATAATTTTCACATATAATGACTTTTCTATAATCGGCGCTCAATTACTGTCAAACTAGTCGTTCTAATCCTGACGAATATTCGTATACATTTTAATATGATCCATGAAATTAACAAGGTAAATAAAATTTCTTGAGTTTTTAAATCAAAGCATTAACTCCATGAGTAGTTATCCACATGGCTATAAAAAATTCTTCCTTCATAATAAAAAAAATTCACTATAACTACAATCACTTAATCTAAATCTTAATCATCACCTTAATTCTTAACCTCAATACTTAATTTTTTACAACTAATCGCCCATTTATATCCCTCGGATTTTGATTGGCTGACAATCAGTTAAAATCTCATAGTGTCACTTTTAAACTCTCTCTCGCTTTAGATCATCAATATAGTATAATCCTACAAAATTTAGTTTTCAAGAATTCTAATAAAGTGAATATGAAGACTGTTACACATAGATATTCCACAGTTATTAGAGGACTGAGAGAGTTTTATCATTTAAACAACTAAATGTAGCAAAGTTATGATAACTAGTATAAGAATTTTAAGCATAGATGGGTAGCGGCTAGCAAAATGAATCCAGAACACGAGTTCCGTATTATTTAGGACTCATCAGCTGAATGTACCTCCATCTGAAAGTTGATATTCACTCTGTAACAACAATAGGAGGATTCAAAAAACCGAAATATATGTAGTAAAAGAATTTTCAAGATTGTGAAGAAAACAATTGAAGAATAGATACATTCGATTCAGTGTGGTTATTTATGTTTTGTAATTCATATAACACAGTAATAAAGGAACTGATTGAGATACACTACAAACCATGTTATTCTAGAAACGATATATTTCAGTTTAATCATTCATCAGATAATCCCTACTACAACCAATACAATTGCTGAAGTTGACAACAACCAATTAAATGATGAGAGATATCAATTCACAGAAATGCTGGATGATTACTCATCTACTACGCTTCACAACCGCTGTTTTCTCTTCACTTTCGGCTAATGATTCAGAAGGATTACTTAAAAAATCTAATATGTATGTATGATAGTACAATTGGTGATTCTATTAACAACTTCTGTCGACACTTTTATATAGTCTTTGTAATATTCCATTTTATCAGTGTGTAATTTCTCTTAAAAAAAACTGTTTCCTAACATCCATTTTAATCACTCTTATATACATTGTTCGATTTAATGACTGATACAGTCAACCTATTTATGTAAACGATTAAACTACATCGTCCATAGCCTCTATGATGATATACTGAAACGCATATTGACACTACAACAATTTATATTCACTTACTATCAGACCAGTTTGTTGACAGAATCACATCCATTCATGGCTAATATATTTACTACATTTTAATGAATGTGCCAACATTATTAACTCGTTCATAAGTACAGGTTAATTTATAAAATTAACTATCATCAGCCTTATACATAATATCTGCAAAAATAAACCATTGAAGTTGATATTAATATTTACTGGATTGTTTATTTGTAATTAAAAACTAGTAATTAATGTTATCCAGTGTCCATTTATTATCTTACTATTCTACTGTCTTCTACTATTTCTTTCTTTCACTTATAGCTTTTATACCTTGTATTCCTTGTGTTATTTATTGGTCTATGCATCCATACTCTACCACCGGATACATTTTCGTTCTTGGAACTTTATGTTTATTTACATATTTTAACATATTGGTTAGATAAATTTCGTGAGGTAAGCGTATCCAGAACAATTATTCTTTTTTATGTTAATACTTTTATAAATGTTTTTCGAACAACTATAAGATATTCATTAAGTAGAATATTTCTTTAAACCCTGAAACCATTCTTATGTTAAAATAGCTTTTTCGTATCATAAACTGGTATCAGTTGACAAAATAACAAAAACAGAAAACTATCAATTACTTTTTTTTATCTATCTGCATTCAAAACTCTTTAGCAATATACACTTACGGTATTACACTAAGAACAAATCAAGATCTTTAAATTGTATTAGCAGTAACATGAAACCACAATAATGAAAGCCCAATATGATCCATATATTTTAGCCTCAATCTATAATTTATACAAAGATTATTATGTAATATATCACAAGTTAGTAACTGCCTTGTTGCAAAACTTGAACACTTCGAATTCTATTGTGTATGTGGTCGTGAGTGTGTACAACTGGGTAGTCTTAAATTGTAATGATGTACCTGTCGCATATTCTTTGATTTCTATTAGTTTCTCAGCTAATGTTAGTTGATTATGAAAACTACTTTGAAACAATGTGAAATCTTGTTAAATCACGTTTAGTTAAAATATAAATACTAATTTCAAACTATTAAATTTTTTACGTTTGTATAAAACATTTCAGTAATATTCGCTTTTATAATTGAATACGTGTAGTCGTTTACTTTGATCGGCCAAACTAAAAATTAAAAATTAAAAATAAGTGTAAATCAGCCGGAATTTAACTTTTTTTTTAAAAAAAAAAGAATGATGATGATAATAATAATTTAAGCATTCAGGAGTTGGTGTTCACTCCGGGGCCCAAAGCAAGTACTGTTTGTTTCAAATGCGATCACATCATCCACATAGCTTATGAGTTCAGATAGCTACTGGCTTCTGCAATGCACCGAATAGAACGAAACGCATGTCCTAGGTTCGACTACTAGTCACTATCTGCATCTCCTTAAAATGCTTGTGAGTTAATGACAAGATCGAGGCAAATCGCAAAGATTGCACATATAACCAAGAGACCGATCAATTATAGTCGTAAACAATGATGAAAATATTAAAAACCAACCAGTTTATATATATGAGGATAATAATAAAATAAGTTATTCTCTATAGTTTCAAACTACTGCTTTCTACTGATTCTCTCCAGTCTCCACCAGAAAGGGATGTCTATTATATTCTTACTTCAACCAGTACTCCGAATTCTGGTCAATATTGATTGACTAGGAATATGTGATTGTTTCTTTTTTAGTCATCTCAGTCAGTACCATTATTTCATTGATTTTCTAACAAACTATTTAGTTAAATAAAACGCATTAGCCTATTTTTTCATAATCACCCGAAAGAATTATCTTGCTGAAGTACTATTACTAATCATGTACTCAACTTTATTCTACACTGTGATATGTAAAGTTCGTAATTTATTGTTACATGATCATAGACGTCTCTAAGGCATTACTCGTATATGTTGAGACCACATAGTTAAGTGTTGAGATTGGACGCAAGATACTAGGTGATAATGGCCAATCGGTTTATGGGGTGGTGAATTTTTATTAACCGAGGTATTTAGAACATGAATTACTTACATTTAGCCACCGCCCACCTCTATGAGTGATGCTGTCAGGCATAGAAATATGTCAGAAGAAGACCAGGGGAGGTCAAAGAAAAACGTGATATCGATCTGTGAAGTCGTTAACTTTCGATTTGAACCGTATATATAAATACAAACTATCTGGTTGCTGTGCGTTCGATTATCTTGACCGATGGTTGTGGACGGGTAAAACAGCTCACTGATGGTCAAAGTGGCGCAAATTCATTTACACTTCCTATTCTATAAATTTATTCCGTACTCTGGAACCATGTCATCTATGTGTAATGTTTTCTACTATCACTAAAATTGTTGCTACTTCTACAAATCTATTGTTTGTCTTTACATTTTCATCTCTCTGTACTTACATTGTGATAGCATGAACTAATGCACTAATATGCGAGATTCTACTTTTTCTAAGATTAACTGTCCATATTCTTGTAAAGAAAATCATTATTTCAATATATTGTTTATAATAATGTATCGATTTTTACTTTTATAATTATAAGTTACCGTCTAGTAAGTAACTCTAAACATTCATAGAATTTACTTACTGAATAAATTTTGTTTAATAACAATTTTCAATCAAAACATAGAAATTTCTTTAAAAACTTTTATACAATAAAATTGATATACACCCACCCAGCTTGACAATATCATGATTCTATAAAGAAGAAACTAAACACGTACACACACACACACACTTGCCTTTATTACTGATCTATGAAATGATTACGACATTCAAATCACATGATCATTGTCTATGTTAGTTATTGTCTACCACACAATATAATTTTTTTTTTAAAATTTAATAACATTATTTGTTCTTAGTTCCATTATATTATTAAGATGATTATGACTATACTGTAAATATCGTCAAAGTCAGATGCATAGAAAATATGTTACTAGTTAAAAATTAAAATAGTAGAAAAGAATTAGTTTCTTCACTGATTTATCGATTGTTACTAAGCAGAATTATCTATATATTTATATATAATAATATTTATGAAATGTTCATTTTTAATATATAAAAAATTAATGTCAGTGCCGACGAAGGTAGCTATTGATATTAAAAGAAACAAACAACAACAAAAAACGATATTATTAAGATGGAAATATTACCATTAGTAGTAGTAGTAGTAGTAGTAGCCAGTTTCATGATTCTAATGGTTTACATTTTAGTTAATTTACAATTTAATTCAATCATCATTCCATGTTATTAGTGAAATTGTTTACCCCTCCCCCTCTCCCAATATAGACATTTTAATAAAACTTTGAGAATCCATCCCATAATTAATCACTAGTAAGTATATGATTATTGTTTGGATAGATGATTCCTGGTAATCAGTTCATTTTAAAGATTGACTTCAAGATATATTCATGCAGTCCCAGTGAGAAGTCTTCACTAGTGATATAAATAAGAAATTTATCGCCGATAATATTTTCACACTACCGTACGATATTTCAGACTAGTTGGCACTCTATTTGTTGTGATTGTCCTATTGAAACGGTCTGTATGTATATACTCACATACCTGTTTGATATATCTCCTGATAGATAGTTTTAAGTCAATAAATCGAATGAACTTAGTTAATGAATCCTTTTGATTAACAATAAATCTGTTTCAATAATAAACAGAAAATTTTTTTTAATTGCAACATAGTTTTATCATTGACTGATATAATCTAGAAAGCATTGAAAAACCAAGAAACACTGGAAAACTGTTCACCCTTAGCTCGAAACTTCTGTAATACTGTTTTGAGACAAAAACTTACAAATACTGATCATTAGATCTTTTTCTCAGTGGTTTGACTATTTCGTATCATAAAACAAATTGACTCAACCATTGAATTTCAACTCTAGTGATCCACATATATCATTCGACCTCCAGCTACATCAAGAGGATATATTCTTGATGTGTTCAAAATTTCAATGAAACACTTGTTAAATTGTGCTTAATTTTTAATAATTCTATAACTTATACAATTCCATGATAAAAGTCAGCTTTAATTTGTGATTAGTTTAAAAAAATCGTATTGCACTTTTGTTTTACAAAACTAACAGGTATAGTCATGTCAATGATCACCTTCTACTTATTGTTTCTAACATATAATTTCAGGTTACACTTAATCCAGGTGCAACGTACATTCAAAAATTTGCAGTTCATCTAAGTGCATTTTGGAACAGTTATGATATGATCATGTGTTTGTTATCGATTACTGGTATTATTTTACGTTATTATGGTATAGTTAATCAAAATTATTATATGTGGGGTAAAAATCTCCTAATTATATGTTGTTCATTATGGTAAGTGTACATTTTACTATTTAAGCTCCATTTTCACCTCGCCCACTTTGTGTCGAATAAAATACCTCTCTCCCTCTCCCTATATATATATATATATATATATATATATATATATATATATATATATATATATATATTGTATAGATAATTGAAGTTTCTATGTTTGATCCCTAACACCATCTTGGACATGTACTGATGAGAATCTTTTATTGATTAAGGTCATTCTGTGATGTAAACTGTATTCGTGTTGAACAATGTTTTGCTTATTCTGAGTGTATACATTTCTTAGTTTAATAAAATTTTCTAATAAAGGCCAAAAATTTAAATAGCTGTAAAACACCCTTTTTCAGACAAAAACACTTAGAAAAGTAAGAAACTTTACATCATTCATTATTTCAGCAAATATTAGCAAATAGGTTTGAATTGATTAATAAAGGCGGCTAGGAATTTCATTCTTTAGGTGATGAGTCTTTCAGATAACCCAATCTCCTATTAGATAAATTTACAAAAGAAGATGCTAATAGGTGTTGAGCCAGACTAAGTGAATACGTTTGTGTTTTATTTTAGTTTGACCATTCTAAAATTGCAATGAGTTGGAGGTTTATGATATCCATAAGCATTTAACACTTTTGTTCTAATCATCTTGGAACACTTTATTTGGTAAAGGGAATATATTCAGTTCAATTGGTCAGTCAGTTTTATTATTCATAAGATTGGTTATGAATATGTATATCGATTCAGACTGCTACAGTTCATACATCACAGTCTGAAATGAGATCTAAATCAAAATGTATATGTAAATAAAGTATTAATTCATTTGCGGTACACTGCGAACGAATTCAGTTTAATAAATCCATTATTAAACACTATTTTTTATGCTACATTGTCATTTATTGTTACATGCTTTCCTTTTAGGCAAATGCGTTTTCTTGAATTAATGCAAATTTGGCGATTTTCCGGTCCATACATTTATATGCTGGTGAAAATGGTAAGTAGTATCATTTTATTTATCGTTTAATTTCAATTCCAAAAGATATGTTCATGTGATGATGATAAGCTTCGTATATTGTCTTTTTTAGCGATTCTCTCAAGTGAACTGTGTACCACAAGATTCATATGTTTAGGCATTCTTTAATATACTACCTAAATATTAATTTAAGTCAAAAATGCTTCTTATTTGTTTTAGATTATTCACTCCATCACGTATCCACTACCTTGGCGCGATAGCCGGGCTGGACCATCATGATAATCCAATCTATCCATATTGGATGAAACCAGTAAATTTAAGGTCCTAGAGCGACGTCATACTCCCGATTGTACTGGGGGATATCAGCAGTAACTTATTTTTCCCAAATACCTAAAATTCGTAGCTGTGATGCCTTACCAAAATGGAAGGGGATTGAAACAGGTCAATTCTAAAAAGCCACATCTCACATCGCCCCACGGATTTGAGTTACCATCTGCAAGGAATTAAAAGTATAGCACTAACGCATCTAAAATCACTCATAAAAAGCTGTGTCGTCAGCCCTAAGTAGCTGTACTTCGAAAACTGCAGTCGCACTCCTAAACCTTCAAGTTCACTATTAACCCAATTTTCTTGACAGATACCTCAGGAAGAAGCATCTCTCCATAGCATGAGTAACCATGATATAAAAACTGCCCTACTACCGCTGACAGCACTCCAGATAATGTTGCTTACCTGTTTTTAACCAAATTTAAGTTTAAAATGAAGAAAAAGCCAAAGCAAATAGTAGTCAGAATTTCAAAGATGATTTCTGGTCCGGTGATTGAAAGGAACCGTCTACAAATTTATATAATGATTTGATAAAGACAAAAGTTATCTTTTATTAGGGTGTAAATACCAAGCTACACCAATTCTTCAAATGACGTCCAAAGGTTAATTCTCTTTTTCACCCGATATAAATATAGTAATCTTGAATCAGATTTCTTGTATAAAACGATCAAACTTGAAGCTGAACTTAATGGATCTATTTCTCTAAATTAATAGTCAGTTCATCACTTTTGTTAATCCGAAATAGACGCAGAGCAGAAACTTATCTGTATGACTCTATATTTCACTTTTTGACCCTTGATATAGTCTTGTATACAGTTGTTGAGTAGTTTTACAGTCTCTGAAATTCCTATATTCCTATCAATTGATAAACTGAATATCATTGATCCACAAAGATTTTCTAACGATATCCCTGGATAAATAAGCTATCGGTACGTTTCAATTATCTACGTATTTACATACATATGTTTGTTCGACCACTTATCAAGAATGAATTCATAGTTTGCGTAGATGAAACCCCGAGAAAAAGATCTTTACCTTCACCTTTTCTTAGACATCTGATGAGATGTTTGAAGAAAATCAGCTAGCAAATTTATAACTACTTCTACATTCTTTCTTATCTAATAAAAAGTGATTCACAATAAAAGTTTTTCTCGTGGTATTGAAATTTTCTCTAAAACTATCTTCTTTTTCTCATTCTCTACGATGCTTTTATTTTTACTATCATGATACACTTTTAGTTAGAACCTGTCAACAATCATCTTTGTATGATTTGTTTAGTTGTTTTACTTCATAAACCATAAAAATAAAATCTACATTATACACAATCAAACATCATATGAATTAAATTCATTATTATTATTTCGAATAACTTCAAAAGAAATTTTTTTTTATGTCCACAATTATAAAGGAAACTATAAATTCTGTTGTGTTTTTTGCATAAAACAAACAAACGGCAAGTATAACTAAAGTATAAAAAGCTAGAAATGATTGAATTTGCATTGAAATTATTAAATAAAATGTAAATTGGAAATTTAACATTTAGCTTTTTTTTGTTTTTATGTTGTTGTAGCAAATGAAATTCCGGAATTATCGCTCACTAACAGGAAACAAACTTATTGTACTAGCCTTTGAGTATACTATTTAAATACTACAAGAAGTAAACTACGTTGATGAACCAATAAGATTTAAAGAGCCTACGCTGTAATTATTGCGTGAAATTTAAAATCCAATGACTGATAGTGTATAACTCATCAAGAGTCACGTATGAACTGTGTAAAGTTTAACATTGAAAGACGAACTTCAGTAGTTTCTAAGATGGTGAAAAGATTAGGTCTTTCAGGATAAAATGAAGTGATATACCCATGACATTTTAACATGATTTACGATTTTTTTCGATTATGAAAGCTATCTGCATAAGCACTCATCATTATAACTACACAATATTGTTCCACTTCAGTCCTAATATGAATTTACTACGATAAATAATTCAATATGTAAATGTCCATTAACCATATAAAAACTGTTTATCCATTGTAGTTGTAATAGAATTTTATTATGAATTGTTCTTTTCTGATAACTAAACACTTTTCTGACTAGCTAAAAAAAATTCCAAGGTCATCGGCACAGTTTTCTTTACCATTTTCCTTCATAATTCACAGCGAACACAGTTTTTTGAGACTATAGATTTGAAATCTAATAGTGTCTATTTTCATACTCAATCAATTTTCAACGTACCCGCGATTATCATCTAATCCTGTCAGTAATTAGCTAACTTTCTCCTCATACGGTTGGTTTCACAGGTTACCACTCTACAATTAACATCGTGCCTTTTGTAATATGGCAACCCCAACTTTTGCTATTTCTTCAGTATTTGACGATTAGTCCTGTTCATTTATACGTACTAACTGAAAATTAAACTGTGACATTTTTCTATTAATTTATGTTACAGGTTCGTCTAATGATTCCTATGCTTTCACTACTCTTTCTTCCACTGTTGGCATTTGGTACGATACGTCAAGGAATTATGTATCCTAAACATACCAATGTAAATCTTGAAGCTGTTAAAGGCATTATGCTTAAACCATATTTCATGTTATATGGTGAAGTGTATGCTGGCGAAATAGATCGTGAGTAATATTTTTTTCTAATTCTGTTATATCTACCAAACTGTGATAGACTATAATTTAATTATACGACGACCACATGTGGATTCAACTTAAAGAAACCTAAGCATCCAAAATCTAATGAACTGATACTTAATAGCATTTGAAATTTTAAAATCAAACAGGAGTGTTTCAAAGGCTACCTAAACGTGTTATTGTAAATAAGAAAAATACAGTTTTGATAATAATAAAATTAGGAACGATAGTTCAACGTTTGAGGCGTTTGACTTCCATCCACTAAGTCGTAGGTTTGAGCTGAGCACTAACTACCACTATTCGCAGAACCGGTCAATATCACTTGACTTCACACTATAAAGCCTTTTACTAAAAAGTTTATTGAATTTACACAAACATGTTAGTTCAAATTAATCTACAGTTCAGTGTTCTTTGGCCTAGAATAATTTCTGTAAGTTTTTAATGAAAATTATCTTTAAAATATAATTAAAAATTATGTATTTATAGTTCCCTCTAATATTTTTGGCTTCAAATTTTCATCCAACTACTCGTTCAAACCATATGGGGAAAAAATGTCTAAGTAAAACCGCTTCACACAATTGGTACCTATTAGTACTTGTATCCCTTTTTAACGTAAAACTACTTGAAATGATTTGTCATTATACTTAGACTTTTAGAATTAAAGAATACACAACAATTCAATGATTACATTTTAACAAGTACATTGATTCTGGTCATTTGTAAAAAAATAACAATTTTAAAGTGGAAATTTCCAGTCAATATTAAATAAAATCATAGTTTGAATCATAAAAATAATAGTGTTTCATGATGATGAATATATTTATAGTTTTTTTCTAATGTAAAATGTTTTCGCATGGATTATTAATTGGTTTCTATTAATTATAAGTTTTTAACAATATTAAGTAAAGTAAACGATTAGGGCATTTTTCTTAGAAATCTCATCAACTCTTACTTACTTATGTTTGTTACTCCTAACGGGGCATAGGCCGCCGACCAGTATACTTTAACCCACTCTGTCCTGGGCCTTTTCTAGTTCTATTCGATTCTTTTTCATTTTTCTCATGTCTATCTCTATTTCCCGGCGTAATGTGTTCTTTGGTCTTCCTCTTTCCCTTTAGTTATTGATAAAATTCAAATATCGATAGTACAAGAGAGGCTTGTTTAATTCCAACCACTTTATACAACTTATAAAAAACATGAGATTACCTAATACCTAATATGGTGTAAAGATACTCTATAACAGTCCATTGTGAATATAACATTTACAGACAGAGAACATATATAAGCTTTCTTTAATTAATCAGTGACGTTTTTGAAGCACTATTTTTATATTACAAAACTAGTGAGTAGTGTAAGTTTTTTAAAGTTGGTAGGCAAGTTTTTTTTAGGTTGTGAACTCTCATTGACTGAGGTGATTGGAACATGTGTGGATAGTCATAGTTTATCTTAATTCGTTATACTAGCTACATGAAATTAGTTTGTAAAAGTCTAGCAGAGTTAGAGTCTAGTAGTTTATATTTTCAACTTTAGTAAATTCACGAAATAGTACAACTTCTAGGTTTGATGGTTATCCCACTTCCAACATGGTTAAACTCCATCAGTCATTACTTTTCGCTGAAACCTGTTCAGTTTAACTTGAAGATAGTTGCTAGTGAGCGAAACAAATATCCCTACTAATGTTAATCTGTGATAGAAATTATCATCAAATCGAGATAATTTGTATAAAACGCCTTATCCCTAATTTTATTGATATATTTGGAGTCAAATATATGTCTCAAAAGTCACACGACCAGTCATCTTAAACTTCGTAAGTATGTACTTCCATCAAACAGTATATCTTAAGTCAATGGAGTAATGCCTACATAATTTCAAATAACATTCTCCTAGTCACTAACTGTATATTAGTCGACTTTTTGATTGAAAACTGATTTATTCATCGGATCAATTAATCTTCTAGATTTGAATAGTTTTCATCACAAACCGAGATTGGCTAAAGAATTATTCAAGAACAAGAAACACCAGACAGCTGGTTTGTTCTAGTTTAAGAATTTGAAATATATGACTGGCTTGTGGTTTTTTCTTCTAAACACCGTTTAGTAGGGATTCCGAGGTCGGCTCCATGACCAAACTATCAGTTCGCTCATATTGATCATTCTGATTTTTTATCAATCCAGCAAATACAGAGAAACAACCATATGACAAACAGTCTAGCTCAGCAAATGTAAATCTTCCTAAATAAATAAATATTTTATCCTTTAATCTGGATGGTTGAATTCTAAAACTTAAATTATTTTTATAATCATCATTATTACATACTTCAAAAATAATTATTCTCTAGCATATCAATTAAGGCTTCATGATTAAATCATTCAACTCAGTGAGTACAACACTAAAATCATTCTCTTTCTACTTTCCTACTAAATAAAATAGTTTTATCTGTTCTAGTGTGGAATAGTTCTTCAATATAACTATTTGTATACTTTCATAATAATTGTAAATTAGTTTATTTATATACAAAATTTATTATACTTATAATCTTAATGGGTGGTAAACGTAATTGGCTCATTGAAACAAGTCAGTGTTTACATATCACATTCCGTTATATTGAATATAATAAAATAAATATTCTTAATACTTTCTTTTAACCAATCAATCATTATTAATAATTTTGTATTTATTTTCTCAATAATTCGAGCCAATATATTATGAAATTTAGAATATACTTCTATATGGTTAAATATCTATCATTTTAATGTCCTCTTTTTCATTCCAACTAAACTCATGTGATATTTAGATCTTCACACGATAAGAATAAGAATAATAACAATTCAGTATATTGTGATAATTACTATATTGTAATTAATCATTTTCTGCAACCTGAATAAAATTTAGGTTAGGGATAAATGAAAATAAAAACTCTCCTATCAACTAACCTCATTAAAAAAAAAAGCAAATATAATGAAAGAGAAAAGTTATCATCTCGAAAATGTTCTAATTATCCTTGTATAGATCAAGTTAGACGGATGAGTAAAAGATTTTAAACATTAAAATGATATAGTTGAAGATAGCTAAAGAACTCTTGACATCTAACTAATAATCTAGCACACTCTAAAAACTATCTTTAAAATGGATTTTTAATAAAAGACTGTAGTCTTTGTGATTAGTCAAGTTAAAATTGAATCAGCTATTCATTAATAATCACTTCAAAATATCATTAATTAACTGAAGTTATTTTCTAACCTGGCGACTAAATAGTATCATCTTTACTACAAGATTTTTAGGTTCTGTATTCTGTCTTATGTATCGAGTTCTGGATACATGTTAACGAAGTGTCCTAAACCAAAATGGAATAACCGTTTAATGATTCATAGTCTCCAATGACTATATCGACTTAATATTCAAGATAATTGAAACGCAATAATAACAATACATTTATTTCTTTGTTTAACTTCCTCTATATCTTACACTCTATTTGTTACTTTTTTAGTTTAGTCAGTTTACGGTTCAGCTCTATAATAGATTCGTGTCTTTATTTATTTTTGTATTTACATATATAAATATAGTTAGATGACGTGATTCTCAATCACTCCATCTCAATAACATTATCTGTAGGTTTGATTCTAAGGCAAATGAATATTAATGATTGACTACTTAACAGACAAAAGCCGATCATTAGGAGAAAATATAGTTGGATAGTAGTTGTCAGAACATTATTTTAAAGAAAATTTTCCCAGTTATATTCGAAAAAATGCTTTATTTACAAATAATAACGATAACAACTATTATTTTGAGACTTATTATGAAGACACTTTTCAAATTTTACACCCCACCGAACTATATGTTTGTGATATTACAGTTTGGTTAGTAACAACTTAGTTTCATTCGTTTGCAACTGATTCATGACAGTATCCTGGAGATATTTCAACAAATTTACAAATCCCATCCAAAATTTCAAATTATTTAGAATACTCAAATCTGGTGTCTAACTTGGACAGAACGATGACTCTGCTGTCCAGTATAAGGTTATGTATTAATCATCAAGTCCTGTATTCAGTATAATTACCAAAGTTCTTATTCAGTTATCCATTATATGATGTAGTAAAAATCAATTATCTGAGTTGATTGTTAAATTTCCAAAGTTTAAGGAAACGGAAACAAAGATATATGGTCAAATGTTTAACAATTATTATCTCCTCGTTGATTTCATCTCTCTCTTTCTCTTGATATACTGCACTCACAAGATCGACAGGAACATATGTTTATCATCTTTTTAAGGTTACTAGAATCAAATGCAAGAAGAACACCAATACCATTGGCTTCTGGATTTCTCTAGAAATGTTCCAAAGTCACCGATTAACTAAAAGTGATATGAAACTTTTTCTAGATTCTTGGGATCTACTAGACATTGACAGATATTTTCTAATAGGATATTTTATGGACTTCATACTTTTCTCAAAATCTCCTATCAATTTTAACATATTGCATGTTAGAATTCTTTAAAAGACATTTTATTCACCTAGAATGTCTTCGTTTCTTTTCTTTACTCTTTTCTAGCTATTGATTGGCCCAGTGAATCACAGTCTGCACCATTTTTAGAAATTGTCCCAATTGCGACAGTGATATATCTGTTATACTCCATTATTCTATTTGTCAACGTTGTTATTGCTGTATTCAATGATATATTTGCTAGAGTACGTCAACAATCTGAATTAGTTTATAACTATCTACGATATGCAGTGATTATTGAATATGAATCTAGACCATTGTTACCACCACCGTTTATTATTATCTCTTGGATTTATATGTCTATACGTAATATATACCGGTGAGTTTTGCCTATCAATTTCCTATTTGAATGTGTTTTTCATCACATACTTGACGAACACTATTTTCTGTATGTTAAATGCACACATTTGGTCGTATAAAAGGTTGAAAAAATCCACCCTTCGGGAAGTTTCAGTTTGATTTAACATTTACCAAAGTGATTTCACTAATCAGTTGAAATTTTATTACTATCCCTTCCATATAATACAGTCTTACAAAACACTTCATTACATTTCAAATTTCTTTGGATGATATTTTATTTTTAGTTCCTTTCTTCAACAATGTGCGCCATATAGTAAATAAGTACTGAATGGCAATTAATGTCATATTGTCTAGTCTCTAGTACTGTTGAAATTATATCAATCGATTGTAACTTGGTTGTTATACTTTAACTATCTTGTTTTCGCGTACACCGTGTTCTGAGTTATGTCTGATGGCCAATACAAAAGGAGCATTAGACTTATATTTCTTGCTTCTTGGTACAAGTCAGTGAAGATTATCTATAATCTTGAAGAGAACTGATGTTCCCCATATGGTCCGAACCCTTGTTATCATATTTTATAGATAAAAATGTCGACATTGAATCATTTTAAAATCAAGGTGTCTACACTAACCCCTATAGTTCTTATTGTCCGACCTTATTCAAATTCCGTAATACCACAGAAAATATCTACGTAATTTACGTACACAAAGAAAGTTGAATGTTCAAATCAGCTACGCATAATACATTTCATTAAATATGTCTGAAACTTCCTGGCATTTCATTCCTATTGTCTTAAATTTAAACAAATTGTACACACTATACTCATATGGAAAAAATTGTTTGTGTACGTTTGTTTTTCTATGGTCAATGTAGCTTTTGAGAGAATAAATTCCCTTTTTTTTCTTCAAATATTTCATTCTAATTATTATTAAGCCCATTAACAAAGATGTATCTGCTAATTAAATACATGCACATCAAAATCTATTAATTTAATATATCTAATGAATGATGTGTAATATTCAATTAATTATCATTCATTAATTAATCATATAAAATACAGAGACTAATACAAGTTTACATTAGTCTACATTGGAACAGATCGTATCAACACTTGATTGTCTACATTGTTATGTCTTATGCACAAACGATAAATAAAAGTATGACTCATGTAAAATGTTAACTTTAATCAGCTTATATGTTGTTAAGTGAAAATGTTAAGTGATCCATGATCTGAATAAATATGGATCAGGTAGGGTGAGAGAAATAATAGTGCAATTAAATGTGCAATCAAATGTTTAATGGATGACTATATTGTGTAAGGATTGCAATACGACTAGACTTATGACGCTTCTGGCACCCAAAAAGCCATTTTACATTGTGTTACCATTTAAAGGCGACACAAATAGTCTCATATTGAAACAGAGACTTAAATTCGCTATCAACCGAACATTTTATGCAGCCCAACTTGTCATTATCGAAAAGACAAGGTCTATTTTTCACCAAAACCCCAAACAGCACGTAAGCGATTGTATCACATTCCATTGTGTCTATCAATTTACATGTATGTGCGGAAACACGTACATAGGGAGGAGCAATCGTGATTTGCAATTAAGGGTTGGTGAAGAAACAAATGGATTCCAACGATCAAATAAGATCACAGGATAGACCAACATCATCTTCCATTGCGAAACATTTAACTGAGACTGGTCATAAGGTTGACATCAAATCAGCATTTGTAGTGTTATACAAAAGCTTTCGAGGACGTATACTAAGGTTTATTGAAGACGTGGCTATACGGAAACTGAAACTCCCTTTTATGCGTTCAAAAACAATTTGTCCTTACACTTAACGTACCCTGGTATTATGAGTGTTTATAGGTTATTTACCAGAGAATGAAATTTAAACATAACTGTCAATTTTTGTTTCTGGTCCCCATTATCATCAATTACTTAATTTAGCATTTAAACCAACAATACTAATATTGCATGAATCCGAAAAAATCACAACTATAGAGACTAGATCAACTTTGTTTCAGTTAAAAACCTAAAAAATCAATCATTCTATCATGACTTTTTTTTAACGAAAAAAACCCCACCGCATTCAGAAAGACAGCTTAGATTAAATCTAGATAGTTTGCATAAACTGGAAAGTCTGATTACATCATACAAGTCTTCGCAATGAAATATTTTCATGTATTGAAAGAGTTAAAATATAAATATTTACCTTTGTTCTTACCATGCATTTATCATAGTATATTTGTATGTATGTGATTTATTCATGACTAGATAGAAATATTTCTTAAAATATAAACACTATAATGATTATGCATAAGAATTGCACTATAAACAACAAGATGTGAAGAGAAATATTTTGTTAAGCTTACAAATATGTTGAAATTAAATAGGTTGGTTTAATTTATATTACTCATTTGAATTAATTTAAAGTTCGTTTCCTAGCATATTTCTCGCTAATGAAACTTCAGATTTATATGATCTTCGTCTTGACTATCGATATCTGTAATTAAATCGAAACTTTATCACAAAACGTGTAGTTATTTTCGATAAATTATCATGTTATAAGTAATATACTTACTTACTTACTTACTTACTTACTTACTTACTTACTTACTTACTTACTTACTTACTTACTTACTTACTTACTTACTTACTTACTTACTTACTTACTTACTTACTTACTTACTTACTTACTTACTTACTTACTTACTTACTTACTTACTTACTTACTTACTTACTTACTTACTTACTTACTTACTTACTTACTTACTTACTTACTTACTTACTTACTTACTTACTTACTTACTTACTTACTTACTTACTTACTTACTTACTTACTTACTTACTTACTTACTTACTTACTTACTTACTTACTTACTTACTTACTTACTTACTTACTTACTTACTTACTTACTTACTTACTTACTTACTTACTTACTTACTTACTTACTTACTTACTTACTTACTTACTTACTTACTTACTTACTTACTTACTTACTTACTTACTTACTTACTTACTTACTTACTTACTTACTTACTTACTTACTTACTTACTTACTTACTTACTTACTTACTTACTTACTTACTTACTTACTTACTTACTTACTTACTTACTTACTTACTTACTTACTTACTTACTTACTTACTTACTTACTTACTTACTTACTTACTTACTTACTTACTTACTTACTTACTTCCTTACTTACTTACTTACTTACTTACTTACTTACTTACTTACTTACTTACTTACTTACTTACTTACTTACTTACTTACTTACTTACTTACTTACTTACTTACTTACTTACTTACTTACTTACTTACTTACTTACTTACTCACATTATCCCTCCTGAAGGGGAATAGACTGCCCACCTCCATCCAACTCTGTTCTGGGTAATCCTTTCCAATTGGTTCCAGTTGCTGTTCATTCTTTTCATGTCTGCTTCCGATCCCCGACGCACTGCATTCCTTGGTCTTCTTTTTTACCCTTTCCCTTCGGGAAACGAATTAGCGCTTGCCTTGTGATGAAGTTTGATGATTTCCGAAATGTATATCCTATCCACTTCTAGCATCTTTTCCTAATTTCCTCTTCAGTTGGAAACTGGTTTGTTCTCTCCCACAGTAGGCTGTTGCTGATGGTAATTTAAAATCGATCGAGGTGTTCATGGATCACCAGTGTTGGAATTCTTTGATTGTTTTGTTTAGAATTTCTAAAACACTTCATAATTTGTCAAGTTCTATGATTATTTCGTTCATTTGAAACAGTTTACATTCGTTCTTTTATTGGATAAAAAATTATGAGCATTTAAATTAGTTTGATCACTTAAATGGAGTACATTTTATAAATAAAGTCACAATAATTATTCTACTTTTCACGTTTGAATTATACATTCATTACGCAACTTTCCTCTATAAGATATGAATTCTAGTTAGTTACATTAAACTATAGATTATAACTTGATTATAGTAAGAAATGACAATACTTTAGTTATACTACTTATTCACTAATAAATAATAATAAAGTGTTATATATTATATTATTTATTTATTTCAGTGTACACTGAAATATTTTCATTAAAATTCAACTAAATACATGCACTAATACCTGTAAAGTGTGGTTCCTTTTTTTAGTATAACATTCATCACATTGTTAATTTGTATCAGAAGGGTTTTTTGTGAATATTGTAGTAATTTCAATAGTTCAGATCATGAGTCAGTTGAAGCTAGACTACCATGGAAACCTGAAAGTACTGAACGGCCGTTTCGGCCTATTGTGGGACTCCTTAGCAGTGCGCATCCACGGTTCCTCCGCCTCGCAGGATTCGAACCCAGAACCTACCAGTCTCGCGCGCGAACGCCTAACCACTAAACCACTGAGCCGGTATTTAATGGTTTTAATGTCTAACTTCAATTAATGCACGAAGTTGAGCGACACATCTACCATTCTCCCCAGTGAATTTATTGTATTAAGGTTAAAATTCAAATAACTAGCTTATATTCTCTTAAATATTTCATCAATTTACTTGTATGTTAGTTCTTTATACGTCTACATTATCATATCTAACCAATTTAATGTTGATATACGGAATGTAATTTTTATTAAAAGTTGATATTAGCTGGTAAACTAATAGAAAACTATTAAGTATCAGATAGCTGTTTTACTTAAGTAGTGGACTCCTCAGAAGAGAGAACTCAATATAAAATCTTCAGGATATGTTGGGAATACAAGCACGAAATTGTAACTTCAATAGTTTATATGTCACTTAATTTATAACAGCATCATTTTTATCCAAGGTTAGAGTGTAACTATCTGATGTCTTCTAGCTAGGGCTTCGAGAAAAATCATCTGAATGCTACTTCTTAAAATAACAGATTTTGTGTAGACCGATTCTTTTTTTCTATTCATCGTGATTTTGTATATGTGATTCCTCTAAGCAGTTACAAGATAATTTCTACATCTGATACCATTTTCTGATAAAAATTACTTTCAACAAATACACATTGCAAATTTCAAACCAGTAGTCTATATTGTTTATGTTTACCAGTGTACATCTAAACAAAGTCATTTCAACTAGCAAATTCAATGGTGTTATATTTAATTTAATCTTTAATAAGGTCTGATACGTGCATCAAGATTTTTCAAAATATACTTATCTATCCAAAAAGGTTAGTCTTTTTACATGACTGTTAATCATCATTCATTGTAATCTATATTTTTCAATCATAACTAATTATATTTATATATAAATATTTGCACAAACATATTTTTCAGTTTTCCTCCTTAATTCTTCTTTTGTTTTCATGTTTGGTCATTAGAAACCTTTTCTTTGTCTACTTATTCTCCTAATTTGACATTCCACTTAATTGTCACCTCCTAATCCAATTTTAAACAGATGAACATGATTTTTTTTGAATAGTTTTCTACTTTTGTTATTCTCTTTGGTGTCATTATTTACCAAATATGTCTAACATATTATTAATCACCTAACATAATAGTCAAATACATTATTAATATGATTTACAATTCATTGAAGTGTTAACCAATTCAACTATTAGTTATGTGTAATATATCAATTTATTCGTAATCTGTTTATTTTTGTGATTGTGATAGAATTCGTAAAAAGCGTCGAGCATCTAATCAGTCTAATACAATAAATCCTACTGATCTATCTGATGTACAAAAGCAACCAAATCAAAATGCTAATACTACTAATAATAATAATAATAATCCAAATTCTCCATCGAAATATGATCCACGAAATCGTCGAGATAATAATGAACCTCAAGACATATTGATAGATCCAGCGACTACTGAACTATCGGCCGGTTTAAGTAAGTTTCGATGCAAATCTCTTTAAATTTTACATATTCAATACAATTTATTCCATTATGTAGCATATAATATTTTAGGTAGAAATGACTGACTTTAAATTATAATCAACAATTTTCATGTTTTCAAGCGTAATAGATAAGTGAACACTTTTAAACTGTTCAAATTTATGTTAATATATAAACAAAAAGGTGTTCACTACAGTTTACTTTAGGTCTTGTTCATTAGTAGTGAAATCGAGTTTCTTTTTCTTCTTCGAGCTACAATTTGATTAGCAGACAGTCTGCTTAAATTGATAAGCTAAATACTGATAAAATAAAGCAAAGAAACTATCGTAGTTTCTGTTTACTGTAACTAATTAATAGTGCCTATGATACAATAGGCTGATCACAATACGGAGAATACGAAGGTAACTTGGTACTAATCAAAAATCTCCTCAAGGACAAGTAAATGTCACTGATCAAGAAAGGGATTCAGTAGCACGATAATCTCTCTCTTTCTGCCTCAATTGAAGATCAGGGCTTGGTCGGTGTATTAGTATCAGTCTCGGACATAACCCATCATAACAGCCTACCATAAAAGTTCACACTGCATTTACTAATGAGTCATCATAAAATCCTTACTATCTCTAGTTAATCTAGTTTAAAGGCAACCACTGTTCTGTTCGTTATTATGTTATAAAACATCTTATCAAGGAAAAATGAACACAATTTTTATGATTTAAGGTGAATAATAGTTCATAACAGTTGTAAAAATATCTGGTATATATTTCCTTCTTAAATTCATGTAATTAAAGTGTAAGTTAAGGGAAATTCCTTAAAATACTTTATATTGAGAATTTTCTACTTTATCCAAATATACAGTATTGACATTTACATTTTTATCCATACAAAGGGTAATCTACAGAATGTTCAAAGAATTTGATGTTTTTACTGATTGATCATTAGATAAAAACTAGTTCATGTTTTCTAGTCTATATTGTTCTTGTGATCAGGTTAGTGATGTATATGGACATCAAGGATACTGTCTTAAAGCCATGTTTATTACACTTTGTTATACATACAATAGCTGAAGGTAATCAGTAAAAATGGTTGTACCTACGTTTCATTCTTTGTTTGATGTATTTACAATCCTAATGAAATTAATACTTCTTCAAGCATTCTGATATCCGGTACTAACTAATGAATAATTATATATTTTGATATCATTTCCATTTAAGTTCCACAAACAAAAGTTGTAATATTCCTTTACTTAGTGTTACATTACTGGAGGCACAAACTATCGGATCTCAAGGATTCAAGGAACTTATGCAACCTAGAAAATTTAAAGCCTCGTTACTGATTTATGTAGCCAGGAACGTTACTCATAATTCTATGTACAGTGATTTTTAAGTCTATCTCTTAATGATTACTCCTTAGTACATAAATTACACTCATAACTTTTCTATCACCTAATTCTAACCACCTAATAAAGGAAATAATAATAGATAATTGATGTGGTTTACTTTTCTGAAAATGAAGGATGTTGTTTTTATTTCTATACTCTAGAACTATTTCTAAATCCAGATGAAGTTGAAAAATTGCATGATTTTGAAGAGGAATGTGTGGAGGACTATACACGTGTTACAAGAAAAGCTGAATTGCACAAAGCTGAAGGTCAAGTCGAAATATTAAATAAAAAGTAAGCAAAAAATGAGATAATAATCATTTCCAAAATATTTAATGAGAAAAACAACACTATAATTACACAAATTAGAAAATAAGATATAAGTGAAGAATATTATTCCCAAATTCAATCATCATGTTTTCATCTGCTTAATAAGAAAAAAATATTAAACATTTTTTCTAATTTTTTTATTAATCCTTGAACATCTTAGCGAAAAGTGTAGGATTGTGACTACCTTACATTACGAAGCCATCGGAATGGACGGTACTTGATCTCTACTTTCAAATAAAGTATGAAGAAAAAAGAAAATTCTGAGACATTAGGACCATGGTTAAAAGAAAAATTTGTAACAATTTCTTTTGGATGCGCAATTCTGGTTTTTCTAGATGTACAATGTTGGGAAAATGCAATAGAAATACATCTAGAAAAAGCAGAATTATGTGTTTGAAAGAAATTGTTACCACCTCTTCTTCTACCATGGTCTTATTGTCTCATAATTTTATTTCTTTTTCATACCTGTCTCCCTTCACAACCATCCGCCTCACCTTCTATATATGTATACAATTTGCCCCCCGCCCCAACTGCTTTATTTCTGTTTCTATGATCCTCATGATTACATTTCATCTCAATTTTAACATATTATCCTATTATGCTCATCCCTCCTTTCCGATTTATAATTTCCCTATATATCTTCGTGATCAATATTCAAACCGTTACCTAAACTATTATTAATGTCCCTGGTAAAAATAACGTTTTAATACCTTTTTTATTCTACTTCACTGTTACCATATTTAAAAGAATTTTGTTATCACTATTGTTGAAGCTAGTGTAATTATTACCAACCTGAAAAATTAGTATATATTTGCAGTTATACAGCTTTGAAAATGAGTTCGCTGAAAAGTGAACTCATTGCTGAACCAATCTTTTTTATTCTACAAAGTCTAAATCACGGATTGATCTTAGATAGATCACCACTGAAAACCAGGAAACACTGAACAGCCGTTTCGTCCTATCATAGAACTTTTCAACAGTACTCGGCTTTATATATTAATTATATATATTAATTAAAACTCTTAACCAGTTTTGTTTACTTTTAAAATGTATATTTTCTTTTCTTACATGAATGTATAATATGTTCATTTGAACTTCCCATAGAATTGATCACTTACAATTTCGAATGGATGAAATTCATGTAAGACAACGTCATTTACGCGGTTTAGTTCATTTAGTTGAAGAACATTTAGTCTATATGGAGGATAATCTACATACAACAGGAGTGATAAGTCCATCACCAGGAGTTATTCATCATCAATATAATACTAATGATATGGAACATCTGACAATGACAACTTCAACAACGACAACAACAGTAAACAGTCATGAAATACCTTCCAATTCTATTGTAAATAATTCAAGTGAAAAAGATATGATATTTACTTCTAGTTTATTATGGTTACTTAAACGACAAATAGCTCAAGATTCAGGAACTACTTCAAATGGTATGATGTGAAAAACATATAACGGTTATCATTAATATTATTTTTATTATTATCATGATAATAAGTATAATTACTAGTGTCGCTACTATTATTTTTAATTATTCATTTCCCAATAAATATGTTTGTAATTAAAACATCTTTCGACATCAATAATCGTTTTTTTAAATTAATATTACTGTTTGTGAAGCTTCTAATATCATTTCAAAACAATATTGATGTATGACCAATAAAAGTTAAATGTGATTGATCAGTGAGCTATGACACACACACACACTCAACTTTGCTAAATGTCATGATACCATTTAATATCGTGAATTCATTTCTCTGACTGATTTCATTGTGGACTCTGCTCTGTTTGTGGACTCCTAGTATTTTTGTTAAATAAACTATTGTCTGACTTATTATCTGGTTCTGAATTGTTGATCGTGAACCGTGTATATATCCAATTGTGTCGATAGAGCGTCCAGTCTACTCTAGTATGATGAAAACAATAAAGATTCTCGCATATAATTTGTGCTTATATCTCCCCGTTTATATATTGAGGACTACAAGTAAACAGTCTCTTTGGCACATGGGCATCCTGAAAGGACTAACTCGAAATCACGATTTAATCACAATTTTTTGTTAAGTTTAGTAGTAACTAACAGTGGAATTCATAAAGCGCATGAAGAGACAAACTGCAAGCCATTGGCTATTTGGACCCAGTAGATTAGGGATTAACACTTTATCACTTGAAGTAAATAGTACTGCGTCCGGGCTCAGATGCGAATATTGACACTGAAATACAGATGTACCCAGCCGATGAGCAGCAGATAGGATGAAATGCGCTTCCTTAATTCACTGCTAACTATTATCGAATATAACTGATTTCGGCGACCTCTTGATTTCCGATTAACTTTTATTTGTTTACGTTCGTTTATTAAGCTAATCGATAGCCGAAAATTATTTATTTATAACGAATTAACATCAACTAGGAAACTACTGGAAACCAAGAGGCACTGGATTAGATTGGGATCCTTTAAAAACGACTATCTTAGAGATAGGTTCTCAAAGTTCTTGTGGGAAATTGTAACCGTACAGTTAGGCTTTTTATAAAACGGATTCGAAAAATGAAATGTTGGGTGACACCATGTTGAAACATAAGAAATGAGAACTACGCAAAAATAACAAAACGCACGACACAAATGAAACTATAATACTGGGAAGAAATAAGTAAATGATGGTAAAAACAGAAATAGTGTTTAGTAAGTGGCATAATTCAGTCAAATATATAATCAAGAAAAACTTTTTCAGTTAAGGAAGTCCGTTTCACTATTATAAAGTGTAAGAATAAATTATACCAGGATCATTAATGCCTTTTATTGTAAGCCAAACTTGGGAGTCGTGATGGATCGACAGGTACCAGTTTTATACAGATTTCGATTATAAAATAGCGTTATGACACTAACTAACCATCTCTCCACCCTTTGTACCTAGTCCGTATCGGTAAATAATACACGATATGGAAGCCGCCGAGATGAAATTTGTTGACTAAACTATCAAAGTTAGTGTTTCAAAATGGTGACACTAACTAAGTTATAGTCACCCTGTGCCCGAACACAAATTCCCGAACGTAAGCACTGCCAACTTGATGTTCCCACAGGATAACAGCGATCCCTCGAAGATAACGACGATCGAATGTGCGAAATCACCGTCCATCCCCATCCCAGAGGAACCAAACTTCACAAACATGGAGCAGAACCACACTTACGAATGCTTTGTGAACCCTATCTATTATAGTCAGACTAAGGTCTCGACGGCATCATCTAAAATTAAGATAAGTCACCAAAACACTTTAACAAACAATTAGACGTATATTATATAACTATCGATTAACTTTTTATACAGGTAGATATTAGTATGACTGAAAATGACCCATTAATACCAATATCCTGTGATAATTTAAAAAGCAGTGAAAAATTGTTAAACAAGAATTTCCTATACTACCGATTAATTAAAACTCAATCGAATGGGTACTATGTGAAGTACATAAATACAGCTACCACTTAAATTGTATATTACTTAACAAGAATATTTAATCTCATAATTCCGTTTTCCATAACTTTAACACTTTCCGAAAACCCTTTTATCATTTGATTTCTCACATTGTTATCTTCTACTGAATTATTTCGTTACTTGATAAAATAGTCGATATGTTTCTACTAAACAAAAATAGTGATCGAATTCAGTGTCGTTTAAATAGTCCGGAAGAGAATCTCGAAACTTTCAACATGATCTATTCAGTAAACTGATAACCTAAATGGTCACTTTAGATATTATCTATTGTTTAAAAACATCTTGAAATCGATTTTAAGTTTTTGTTACAAACATCTAGTAAACAAACATTTATTCACAAATCTCAATATGGTAAATATCACCCGAAGAACCAATGAAAAACCAAGGATCTTGCGAGAGCGATATCGCCCAACTTTCAGATTTAGTAGTACATAACAACAGCTCCACGGATGATTGAACCTAAGATCTCACGCCAAGTTAAAAGCCAACTTACCTGCTACCCAGACTTCCCAGTTATTTAAAACTACGCTATTCAGTAGACTATTAACTATAAAACATTAAATACAATTACATAAGCTAAAGCTATAGTTGATATGACTTCTGAATCATTTCTTTTTGTTATTTTTCATTAGAAACTTTCCTTTCACAAATCTCTTTTTTTTGTTCTTCCACTGATAAGTTTTGACTTTGTAAGTCGTTAATCTTCTAACGGAAGTCATTTTTTATGCATTTTATTTAGAGAATATTGATTATCCACAACAGTTGGCTCGTTCGCTTGTATCACAACTTGGACGCCGTTCACGCGTACCTACTGGATCATTTAGTTCACGTCAGCACCAAAACCACTTGGATTCAACGTTTGAAAGGTCACCAACTTGTTCAGTCCGTATGAAACATCGTAACGGTCGTACAGATCATAGACATTCCTTGCCTTCATTTGACTACCATTCTTTTCCCCATTCAGAAGGACATTGTCATGGATCATATTACGATCGAATGCATGAGTAAGTTTATACTATGTGCAATTTGACAGTTATCAAAGTTTATCTTAAAATTAATTGTTATATTCATTTCTACATGCTTTCTTCTTAAAAATGAAGTTTTTCTCAAAAACTCGAAATTCTTACCATGTTGAGATAATTAACCTATTCTATGTAGTTGTACATTATCAGTTATCCTAATGATTAAAACATTCGACTATCAGTAATCAGGTTGCAGGTCCAAACCACAACTTTATTTGTTTCACTTTTGATAGCACAGTCGCTGAGTTTCATTAGTTTAGAAATTTATGAATAAATGGATAAAATACATACGGTCTGTCTAGTATATACGCAATAACTCAATATTAAGCTTTTAGTGAAATTTGGGAAAAACACATAGGAAACATAAAAAGTGTTAAAGGATGTTTATGGGTGTATTGGTTTAAAGAAAACTAGCTTTTTAAGCAGATTAGACATTTCTTCGAGAACCATCAAGACTGCAAGGATGACCCATGGCTAGAACAGTCATCGACCTCTGGTGTTGACAAACACAGCGAATTTGTAATCTCTGATAATTTCAGATCACTGATTCAATGTCTAAATGACTACTGATGAGCTGAATTTTATAGACTCGTCTCTACGCAAGATTAATGCAAAAATGTTGATATTGGGTATAATCTCTTAATAATGAGACAGCTAAAAATCTTAACTTTTAAAAACATCCTCAAGCTTTTTTTAACTATGTAAACGAAACGAGGCATGTTCACAGCAACAGATAGAAAGTTTTTTATGAGGAGTAAAAACTAATGCAATTCCAGCTTCAATCAATTTACGAGAAAAGTCAATAATAAATGTCATTATCATATTATTTTGTCTCTTCTATAAATAGACGTGGTCGTAATCGTCTTCCTACTAATCGTATTCAGCACGGATCTTATCGAGCACCAGATTTAACTTATCGTGAATATACAACCATCTGTGATGATATAGATCTTTCTTGTTTAAGTTATGTAAGTTCTATTGTTTTCCTTAAAGCTTATTATTACAAAACAATTTTTTAATGAAATGAGAATTAATATTAATCTCTAGGATAGTTTCATTACAAATCAGCTAGTCTGTTTAAAAAACTAGAGCAAATTATTTTCAACACTGATAACACAAAATCCATTGTCAATTGATCCGAGATTAAGACAAATCAGTCGGGTTTTCTTTAAATAATTTTTCTGTACTTTTTAACGGTCTATTAGTTGATGTTAGACTTATCATATTGTTTTTGATAGTGTTTCAATGTACAATAATGGATAATCTATGAATTGGTTTAAAAAAGATTAAAAGTCTAGAAAAGATTGAATATCAGTCAATTGAAATAATTCACTTTATTGCTCTGAGCTGTGTTAGAAAGTACAGATTTCCTACTTGATATTGTTGAAAATGAATATAGATATAGATAAAGATGCCTTCATATTTATCTGAGCATTGTGCAATTTTGAGTTGTTTTGTGGTGTGAGCTACTTATATTGATATAAGTAGTATATAACGTTCGTCAAAAGAGCGTAAGGTCTGACAGTAGAAGATGGCGAAGATCAAGAAAGGTAGAGCGAGAACATAATGGAATTTGTAAGAAAATGCATGAACAATGGAATGGGAGACAATGGATTGGTGTTTGCAACAGAAACAGTCTGTTTTGATTTGATACATGAATATTTTGCAAATTGACGATTTACTATATGGTATTCGGAGTTTATTGAGATAGTCTGTATTCGTTGTGCTAAATATATCCGTTTTTCCCCACCCGTGTTCTCGTTCACTACATTTTCACTTTTTTTTCTTATTAAACCGCTTTATTGACAAAAAAATCTTTACATTTCATAAACTGAAATACTCACTATTGTGTTTACAAAATAGTTCTATTAATCAGTCTAACTTAATTGTTTGACTATGATTTATGAACGAACCAATCAGATTTACGATGACAGGTTTTGGATTTCGGTGCGAAATTCTTTATCCATTCGGTAAAATAGCGTCTTGGCATTTTAGCTGATGTCAGTTAGTGATGAAACCCCTAAATCTAATCTCTATCCTTAACCATCAACTGTTAATCACAATCTTTATCCTTCACACAGGTTTAAAACCCTCATTTAGCCCTAATCAGTAGGTGGACATTTTGAATTTGCTATGAATGAATTTTGCTAATCCAAGATTAACATATTCACTATAGAGTTTGAGTGTTCTAACTGAAAAACTAAACCTAAATAACTGTTCTATTGGATAAATGTATTTCGATAACCCTCTAGTGAATGCAAGTATAAAATGAACAGTCTAATTTTCTGAAGTCTCCAGTTTATTATAGGTAACATCCAACATTCTTTCGGGTATCTTATTTTCTGATATCTAACTGGGTTTTTTTAATAAACGCGAATTTTCAATAAAAAATATCTACGTCTCTTCAGTGAGTGTTGGTAAAATGATTCACATAAGTATTACATTTATTATTTACCTAATAGCCTAACAGTCCAATTATGAGTCCTAATGGTTCTCGAATGGATCTTACAAGTGTTGGTCCTATACGAAATACAAATTTACCAACAGATACTACTTTGATTAAAACTAAAGAATATTTACCGATACCGAAATATCAAAATATTCCATTCGTACCAATTGAAAATATAACGAACAGTACAGTTAATCAAATTATTTCTTCCTGTATGGCTACTGATTCTAATACTGTTAATAATACCACCGCTAAAGCATCTATAGAACCTAAATCTGCTCCAGCTACCCCGAAAGAAGAACGTGCATTATTATTTCAATCGCCGATAATGGAAAATGGTACAAAACGAAGTCAATCGCTTGCAACTTTACATACCAACACAAAGTCTATTGATCACCGTAAGTTTGATCTATGTAATTCATCGGTTATTTTTTTAATTATCAAGCTTAGACAACTTTTATTATGAAACCAAAGTCAGGCTATCCTCTCTAATTGTCTACTTACTATTGATTCATAAAATACAAATGAACATCATCTGATTTCATTTGATGTACCCGATTTTGTGCCAGACTTGTATGTTTAGTTACAATAAATCTAATTACTTTACAGTACACTTGCTGGCTATTCATACTTTTTGGTAATTTCTCATTCTTAATTATAATCTGACAAACATGATGATCGATTGTTGGCTGAGATTATATACACTGATTTCAATGCTAATAAGCTTTTTTTGTATTTAGCATTTTTGCACAAACTAGACATGATACTTCATGCTGTTATCAACGTCAAAATCTCTTTTGAGGTCAGAATATCTTGGATCAAATTATCAATACAATTAAACATTTGTTCTATAAGCTTTTCAAAATTCAGACCTTATCCCAAAACAGATATCTTTACAATTTAACTCACGGATTAATTGAAAGAAATGCTTGTTAAAAATATGATTTAAACAAAATTGTTCTAGAATACAGTGTATGTCAGTCAGTCAGTCAGTCAGCTACAACGTAGGACCAGGCACATATATGCATCGGTCCAGGTTGCCATACCTTGTTAGCACAGCAAGATGAACACCGGATTCATGGGAGTGGTTAGGTTAAAGGTGGTAATATATAGGAGAAAGATTGCATACAAGGATACAGTACCGAAATATAGAATTAGTTCGTAGAAAGAAAGATATGAGGCGATTTTAATCTCTTAGTTTAAGGGAAGACAGGGAGTGTATGCACCGACGCCATTGTGATCGATTCTGAGCCATGTCACCAAGAGTCTCCAACCATCGGTTACGAAAGTCACGCGGACCCCAACCAAGTAGTCTGCATCTACAGTGTATGTACTTCTTTTAGCTAATTCACACACATATACACGTGTAAAACATGTATATTTATGATGATTGATAATTAGGCTTCTAATGACCAAAGTCAGTGAAATCAGTTGAAGAGATAGCTATTAAAACTGATTTATGAATTAGTTGTGAATTTTCAAGAAACATAGTATTATATTACATTAATTATTAAACTATTACACAATAAATGTATAGTTGTTTAAATCAAGTACACATTTAATTGTTTGAAAAATTTCGGTCATTCTGGTAAATGATATTCATTTTATGATTAGAAATTTGTAAATACTCGTTTACTATGATTTTGATAAAGTTATTAGTATTAAATAGCGAAACGTCAGTAAAGACAATCATGTGTAATATATAGTCATCTTTTAGACACTAAATAGTTCGAATCCAGCGAGCGGGATCATGGATGGGCACTATTGAGTAGTCCCACAATAGAAAGAAACGGCCGTCCAGTGCTTCTAGGTTTACAAAGGTGGTTTAATATCAATCGGTTCATGATCTCACTCAAAATAGTTCAGTGTTTATCTTTATCGATAGGCATTTTGTCTGTTTTCCCATCTTATATTCATGAAAATATTTTACATAATAGGCTTCAAAGGTCATTAAACACCATTTCCCGAAATACATCACTATCTATTTATCTAGTGGTACTGTTGTAGTGAACGAGAACACAGGTGGGGACGACAAAATGTACTTCGATACACATTTACAGAAATATTTGGAAAAATGTGAATACCATACGTTTAATACTTCATTTGCAAAATGTCCACCAATTGTCTCAGGTTTTGTTGTTCCTTCATTTCCATACCAATCACTCTTTGTTCCCAAGTAAAAATACTTGTAGGAAACCCCTCCTGTATTTTGTTTACTTTCAAGTTGACCTAATCAACTATGTATGAATTTATCTTAAATGAGCAGTGTATTTTATTGCTATTAAATAATAATTATCTGTGGTACGCGATTGAAGACATTTATTAAGAGAATATAAGTGTTACTTCAGTATCTTTCAGTGGTTATCATTTAAATACAGCTACAATCTCTAAAATAATCTTACTATTTATAAGGCCAAAACCCTAAACGGTAACATAACTCAAGTCATTGTCACTAAGTTTTTCAAACTATAACTGACCACCTTTATTATTAAACATTCTTCCGTCATCACTCAATAATTAATATATTTCTAGTTCATATTACTCACAATATTATGTTAATTAAATCTTCAGTGTAACTGATATCCTGGTATAATGTTTTTGATTTCGGCTTACTCACTATGTCTTACATGAAGAACATAAAGAACATAAAGTACATAAAGAACAAAATATTTCTCCAAACATTCAGAATATACTGTGTTGTTAAGTTATAATATATATTCGATCTAGTTTAGGGATTTTCCACTAGATTCTTCTGATATTTCTATATTCAATACAATGAATCAAAATATTGAAACATGCAGTACTAGCTGATTTAATTGACTGAGTTTTTAAAAAATTTGCTTGATAATCATCATGTATAAACGTACGACTAAATAGTAATTTCATTAATTACCCATTGAATATGATAAATTATTATGTCTCAGTCCTGTTACCAGCCTTTTAAACTGACAATTATGATTGTAATAAATGAACACAGATCCATGAAACTGCTTTTCTTTTAATGAATAAATTAATAACATCTGAAGAGTTTGAATAATGCACTACCAGTTTAAGAGTACAGAAATGGGTATGTTCTCATGAATAATTGTTGCTTTCCATGAAGAATTCCCCAATAGTAAGGTGATTAACGAAGTAATCTTAGTTTCTATGATCTGCTCAATTTTATTATTATTCTAAATTGTTCAAAACTATTTCATCTCTGCTATTTCGATTGTGAATAACTTGTAATGTGTACATTGGGATTGTTTCAACAGCGATGAAAGTTTTATCGAACGTATGACACATAAAACACGTTCGAGTAGTCTAGAGTACTTATCGGTCCTGCTTCTTGTCTAGCCCAGCCAGTTAAGTCCTGAACACCAATCTCAGCCCCTGCGATATGAATCATTTATTTCAACATACTGGGTTTATATACCAACCAGACAGACCACATTGTACCATAAAATGGAAAATAACATTAGTACAATATTTAGCCAAATATGGTTGTGAATGTGGGAGGTAGTGACTAATAGACAGGGCATAATTCAAGAATGGTAAATCGTAGAATAATAGTTCATAGGTCAAAACAAAGCTCATGATAAGAGGGACCTGAATATGCATAGTTTAGCTATTTAACAATTATACGATAAAAATATACGTATGATATCGGTCCATAAATGGATCCCGAAAGTTACCATTCATTATCCTTATCGGGACATAACAGTTGTATGGACCAAGAAAGTTTGCCGTTAATACCTATCTAATTATCCCTTCATATTCTCTGATATCTGCAAGATGACTGATATTACTACTTATATGGAACACTAGTAGTACGAATTTACATGTTGCAAAATGTTAAGTGGTTTACGTTAACAAAATTTCCAACACAACTAAGGTAAAACTGGTGCACTTACTACACTATATTTCGAAATCCCAAAAGGACAGATTCTAATCACGATCACTTCATTTTGTTTTTTGTTGAGAGTTTTTAGTCTGTACTAATCGATCACCAATATCTTGTCGTCTAGACCCTAATGTTGGGATTGAACAATATTTGACATTATCTTATTAAATGTGACAACAGTAACTACAGACTTCTTTTGAATGATCAATGGTAGAGAAGTATGTTAGTAGAAATTTTGAGTTGGAATGGGTAACCTCCGAAAACTATATAATTAGTATGCTGGTGATTGTTACCAAGCCTAACTATCTCAGCTTTCCCTTGTTATATATCTTTCAGTAATTTCTCACTTGATATTCATTGGTTTAGACTGAATTATATCTTGAAATTGTTTCATTGTCTAACTTCAATTTATGTTATTAAAAATGTTTTTCATAGTCTTATGTTAACTATTGTTCCCTATCTAACTTTATAATAGATTCACTTATACCTACCAAACATTATACAAGTTATGATACAAATTTACACTTTATCAACCCTGAACTCTATCCATATACTCATATTTTAACTAATACTAATACTAATCATAATGTGAAAACAACGAAAAATTCTATAGATATACAAAATTTAATTATTGATTTAAAGAATTATACACAAGATGTGAGTATTGCTAATGAAAACTATATCATGGATGATCATCAGGATAACAATAAATATGTTGATGGTGATGATAATGTTAATAATGCTGATGATGATCACAACAGACGAAATGTTGACGATCAAGATAATGAACCTGATGAAGATGAAAATATGGAAGAGATGGAAGATGAAATTGATGACGATGATAGTGATGATGATGGCGGTGATGACGATGACAATGATCTAGAAAATAAAGAGAGAAAAATTCAATTAGGTCTTCAAGAAGCTGAAAATGCAGAACGTATTGAACTTCAAGGTGCTATGCTTAGACGATTACGCAAATTATCTACTTCAGTACCAAGTAAACCATGCCATTTATCTGGAGTTAATAACTCTACTGCTAGCCATCTTGATAAACATAATAATGTTAAAATTATTACACATGGATTCAACCAAATTAACTCTCAAAAAACTTCTTGCTGGAATGTATGTAACTATCTTATGATGTTCTTAATTAATATTTTAATTGAAATGAACTTTATTATCTTTTCGAAAGGAACGATTTGATATAATCGAATGTTTAGACTTTTATACCATTGAAATACTGTCAACGTTTGTCTTAAATAAGAAATAAAAGAATTATATAAATTAGGTCAAGATAAATAGATAGACTCTACAAACTAAGGTCAATATAAAATTGTTTTCGAATATTTTAACCAAAATAATTGAATCATTCATGACATCTCAAACTTAAAAGACGACATTTGTCTAGAATATTAAACTATAAAAATAAAACAACACAGATTTTACAAATATCGAATCGCATGATGTTAAGGCGTTGATAGTCAATAAAGAGTTGAGTTCATCAAACAAGTATGTAAAAAGTAAATTAAAACATAGAGGATAAATTGAAGAAATAGTATATTTACCATTACCAAACAAGTATTAGCTGATAACAAAAATGAATTGATAGTTATTCTTCACAATTTAGTAAAGCTGTTTTGAATAAACGAAGTTTCAATGAATAATGTACCTAACAGAAACTAATTAAGAATAATGAAAGGGAAATGAATTAAAACATAAGCGGGATATACAAACATTTAAAGATAGCAGTACATTACTGTACAGTAACACCAAGTCACTTATTCTAACATATTTTTAATGCATACACTATTGAATATTAGTAAGTAGTTTAATGTAAAACACAAAAGTAGCAAACGATGAAGAAATTAAATTGGAGTCCGAAACTGACAATAACAGTCTTCATCTTATGTATAGGCGTAACTTAATTCTAGGTCTCTTTAAAGAACTGATTGCACATACCAGATCCACTTTAGTGAGTGCTACTAAGATAGATGTAGAACCGACTGATTAAACACTGAGCCATCAATGACTAAGACGGTTTAAAAAATATGTTTTGTCATCATCCATCCCTACGACTGATATTGGGTGACATAGAAGTAGATTTCCAAAATGTTATAAGAACTCAAGCAGCGACACTTCATCTGTCCATGAAGTCATTAAATGTTGATTTGGATTGTATTGAGAGATAATCGGAATCATTGATTTGGTAGTTTACCGTCCATTAGCTTCAAATCTATGGCGTTGTCTCAGATGCATTCATCTGGCATATTCTTGTAAATCTTAGGTTTGAATATTCTTTTCCTGCTATTTATCCCAAAACTTCATTCTTCCTTTCTGACATACATTCTCGATAGTATAATTAAAGGGGTTTTGTGGGGATCGGCTTATATTTTAGACTATATTCGTCACAAATTGATTTCATTTGAGCTACCATTCGGGAATCAACAAATTCCGGACAACTAGTTTGCCTAATAGGGGAATCAGCAGTTCTCATTCATAACCCTATCAGGAACCGAATCTAGAACTTTATGGTTTAAGACAAATACTTAACCACTAGAACCACTGGGTGAGAAGTCTGGTGGTACAATTTCAACTTCGACCAATTTTCCATATGGTGCGACAATCAATCGATCCACTTGCGACCGCTGTTTCTGAACTCCATTAGTCACGAATTTTTACTTGGACTTCAGGAAAATCTTGATACAAATCACACTGACGAATCGCACACGATGTAGAAATAGCTATCTAATGCCCCCTATTTTTCAATAGTACCCCAACGGAGATTAATTTATAATGAATAAAACGTTTATTATCTATGTTCGATTTTTGCTATCATCAGAAATAGCTCATTATTATTCGATTGATGAAATAAAAACGAATAAAACCTACTTTCTCTTTACTTTGTTGTCAATCTTTTTAATTTACTTGTTCCCTTCACAGACAGAAAATCTACCGGATTCCACTGAAAAATCACCAATTATTGGTCATACACATGAAGTTGGATTGATTAGTTCGGAAGATATGGGTGATTTTTTATCACATGTTGCTAATGAAGAGGAAGCGGTTGATCCAGACTTAGATCTAGATTTTGACTCAATTCCTCATGAGTCATCATCATTATCATCATCTGGTATACGATCATATGTTGAATCCCCTGTAGAACAAGCGGATACATCGTTAAATTTAAATGACGACATTGAATTGATCAGTCGAAATTTACGATCATCATCTGGTAAAATGAATACCGTTATTGACGATAATGACGATGATGATGCATCTTTATCACCTCCATTGAATTCACTGACTACTGATAATACAATTAATAACAATAATAATATTCAGTTATCATATCCAAGTCCTATACTTGAAGAAAAGGAAGAAGAAGAAGCGGAAGTAGAAGAAGTATATGCCGACAATAATGATCTTGATGATAACCATCATTGTGAAGTTGAAGTACCAAGAATGACAAAATCTCTCTAACTTAGCATAAACACACATAAGCACACAAACTAACTTTCAGGATTTGTCTTTTCAATTATGTTGTTTTCTATTTGAAAAGAAACGTTTATCAAATTCACACATTCTCTCTTAATATTAATCAAATATGTATATAAAAAAAACATTAAAATGTAATGGATATTCACTCAAATAGTGATAAAAATATTAGTTAATCTTTTAATATCAAATAGATATGCATTCTGTCTATTTCTCAGAGTTAGATATTTATGTGTGCATATATCATATAACATTGTCTTACATAATTACTTCACAAACACATTATATATGACGATACCGATGTTAGTAACGTTACTAAGGTCTTTATTTTATCTAATATGAAAATAAAAGATATTTATGCATTGAGATTTCCCTTTATTACTAATTCTGTGTAATTTTTTGTACAGTACAATTTGCAATGTAAAGTAATAACAATATGGTTGTTCAAATATGATCTTAATCATTTCTGTCTTTGTTCAAAATTTTCTGTGATCTACAATTAGTGTAAATGCATATTTCTATATATATTTACTCTTTTCTTGTATTGTTAACTTTTAATAGATTTGTGTGTGACTATACTCCACACAATCACACATACTTCTTCTTTCACATCCATTTTAATCCATATATCACAACGAAGATATCCATTTGTTAATTTGAAATCTTACTACTTTTATGATTGATAGTATTCCCATTTTCTAATACCTAACATATGTCTGTTATTTATTGTAAAACTTCTCAAATTTTCTTTTGTTAGATATGATTATTAATGTCTTAGATGAATTCTCTCCAAAAATATATGTATATGTAGAGTGACTACTGATTTGTTTACAAGTAGCTGAGTTCTTTTACGAAATTAAATTCATAGATTACATCACAGAATGATCTTTGACAAATATTGACACCAGTTTCGTCTTAGTATGACTCCTCAACAGTCGGTAACTATGACCCCACCAGAGAAGATTAAACTAGGGGCCTCAGTCTTATAACAAGCGTTCATTTTTTAGACCACTGAGCCTGAATTCAATTGTCCATACGTCCAATTTCAGTCGATTTGTGTTACTGTACGACCATCCTACGTTTTCTGTAGTGAATAACTTTCTCGCAGTCGACCTGGCTGAACTCGACTGGTTGCGGATTCTCGCAAAAGCTCCCGAAACCGTATCTTGAAGTCATTCATTGATGAACAGATACTTATAATCACTATAGGAGTTTTGTGGAGATTGTAGAATTTTTATGATTTTCAGTGGTGGTATTGCTAAGACTGCTATTTTAGATACTTAAATAGTGGACAAACCTGAAATTTATTCTGACGAAGAACATTAATAAAGCCTTGAGGGATTTTATAACGGGTGACAATATTTTAATTACAAAACCAGACAAACGTTATGGAATAGTTCACATTGGACGAAATTAACTATTTAAACAGGATGAAGATCCTTTTAAATTATAGGAGTAAATTCGGAAACCTAGTAGTGAAGAATAATGTGACCGACAGGGTTGGAAAACAACCATTAGACTCACTGAAACAATTAAATAAGGTTTAACGTCGAAAAATATGCTCGAAATATTTAGACCTACAAGAACAAGAACTACAAGTCTATATGGTCTGCCGAAATGCACAGACGTGGATTGCCCCTTTGACTCGATATAAATATGAACAATTCAGCCTGAAATAATACGGCAGGTTGGATAATAAAATTCTCTAGTGGTTACGCAAATAAATAATTGTGTAAAGCGCCAAGGACTCCTTCAAACTTCTTGGTAATATAAGAAATCTACTGGTCAAAAATAAATCGTCTTTATTTACCAACATTCCCCTGCTGGAAATTGTGAATTTTATTTGCATTGACCAAATATGAGGCTTTATAGAAACATTGATTCCCGTATCTGCAATAGAAGAGTTAATTCTCAGACACACGATGAATGTTCACTTCCGACTCAACAAATACTATTGATAAGTAGATGATGAAACCATGGGATCACTATTCGGTCCTGTACAGCAGACTTTTCTTGCAAAACTGAAAAATTGACCACATAAAGACACGCTTAGTCACCTAAAATCTTACTATTGCTATATAGATGATGATTTCATAGTATTAGAAAAAGAACATGAGAAGGATAATTTACTCAGTATATGTAATAACATTCAACTCCGCCTGTAGCTCTTATAGGGTTACTGCCGGTCCCAAGCCCGGGTAAAGGAGGAGGGTTGGGCATGGGGTTAGCGTCCCCATCCCGTAGAAAACTAACTCGCTAAAAAAACGCTAACCAGAAAAAATAATCCAAACCATTTAAACTCTGCCCTGGGAGTTAGAAGGTCTTCATTTAGAAGAATTATGACGCTTCATGGTGAAAGCCGAGTTCCTTCGGAAGCCAAGAGGCCGATGCCCCTTCTAACAACCAGAGCAAAAATTTTTATAGGTACATGGAACGTTCGAACAATGTGGGAAACCGGGAAGACCAGTCAAATAGCAATGGAAATGAGGAGATACAACTTAGCAGTACTGGGAATCAGCGAAACCCACTGGACCCAAGCTGGACAGAAAAGGCTAGCTACGGGAGAGATGCTGCTATACTCCGGTCACGAAGAGGACAATGCTCCACACACTCAGGGAGTCGCTCTTATGCTGTCCAAATTAGCACGAAATGCACTTGTAGGATGGGAATCCCACGGATCCAGAATCATCAAAGCATCATTCAAAACAAAGAAGGAGGGGATCTTAATGAATATTATCCAATGTTATGCACCCACAAATGATAGCAACGACGACATTAAAGATCAGTTCTACGAGCGGCTGCAGTCAGTTATTGAGAAATGCCCAAGGAAGGACCTCACCATTCTGATGGGAGATCTAAATGCCAAAGTCGGAATAGACAACACTGGATATGAAGATATTATGGGACGACATGGACTGGGAGAAAGAAACGAAAATGGAGAAAGATTTGCAAATCTATGTGCATTCAACAAATTGGTCATAGGAGGCACAATATTTCCACACAAGCGTATACACAAGGCTACATGGATCTCACCGGACCACACTACAGAGAACCAAATAGATCATATTTGCATCAACAAAAAATTCAGAAGGACAATGGAAGATGTGAGAACCAGGAGAGGTGCTGACGTAGCTTCAGATCATCACCTAGTTGTGGCCAATTTAAAACTGAAGCTAAAAAAGAACTGGACAAGTGGACAAACAGCAATACAAAGGTTCAATACAGCCTTCCTTCGAGATACTGACAAACTCAATGAATCCAAGATAGCTCTCAACAACAGGTTCCAAGCCTTACAAGATCTACTGAAAGAAGAAGAAACTAGTATGGAGGACAACTGGAAAGGCATCAAGGAAGCATTGACTTCAACGTGTCAAGAGGTTCTGGGTCTAAAGAAATACCATCATAAGGAATGGATCTCTACAGAAACACTGGACAAGATCAAAGAAAGGAAGAACAAGAAGGCAGCAATAAACAACAGCCGAACACGAGCAGAGAAAGTCCAAGCACAAGCTGAATACATAGAAGCAAACAAACAAGTGAAGAGGAGCATTAGAGCCGACAAGAAGAAATATGTGGAAGAACTAGCAACGACGGCAGAAAAAGCTGCTAGAGAAGGAAATATGAAACAGCTTTACGATACAACGAAGAAACTAGCAGGAAAATACAGTAAACCAGAGAGACCGGTCAAAGACAAAGAAGGCAAGCCAATCACCGAAATTCAACAACAGCGGAACAGATGGGTAGAATACTTCGAGGAACTCCTGAATAGGCCGGCTCCAATGAATCCACCGGACATCGAAGCGGCACACACAGATCTTCCCATAGACGTCAACCCACCAACGAAGGAAGAAATCAGAATGGCCGTCAGACAAATCAAGAACGGGAAAGCAGCGGGTCCGGACAACATACCAGCTGAAGCACTGAAGTCAGACATCGAAGCAACTACAAACATGCTTTATCTTCTATTCAAAAAGATTTGGGAAGAGGAACAAGTGCCGATGGACTGGAAAGAAGGGCACCTCGTCAAGATTCCAAAGAAAGGAGATCTGAGCAAATGTGAAAACTACAGAGGCATTACACTGCTGTCAATACCAGGGAAGGTCTTCAACAGAGTGTTGCTGAACCGAATGAAAGATGCAGTAGACGCCCAACTTCGAGATCAACAAGCTGGATTCCGTAAGGATCGATCATGCACAGACCAAATTGCAACACTACGGATCATCGTCGAACAATCAGTTGAGTGGAACTCATCACTATACATCAACTTCATTGATTATGAAAAGGCATTTAACAGTGTGGATAGGAGGACGTTATGGAAACTTCTTCGACACTACGGAGTTCCTGAGAAGATTGTCAACATTATCCGGAACTCATACGACGGACTACAGTGCAAAGTCGTGCATGGAGGACAGCTGACAGATGCATTCCAAGTAAGGACCGGAGTCAGACAAGGCTGTTTACTCTCTCCCTTCCTCTTTCTCCTGGTGGTCGACTGGATTATGAAGACCTCGACATCTGAAGGAAAACACGGAATTCAATGGACAGCTCAGAATCAATTAGACGATTTGGACTTCGCAGATGACCTAGCCCTCCTATCACGTACACATGAACAGATGCAGATGAAGACAGCCAGTGTAGCAGCAGTCTCTGCATCAGTAGGCCTCAGCATACACAAAGGGAAAACCAAAGTCCTCAAATTCAAAGCGGAAAACAACAACCCAATCACTCTTGATGGCGAAACTCTGGAAAATGTAGAGTCCTTCACATACCTAGGAAGCATCATCGATGAACAAGGAGGATCAGATGCAGACGTAAAGGCAAGGATTGGCAAAGCAAGGACAGCATTCCTACAGTTAAAGAACATATGGAACTCAAAACAACTTTCAACCAATATCAAAGTGAGAATCTTCAATACCAACGTCAAGGCAGTTCTACTGTATGGAGCTGATACTTGGAGAACTACAACAACAACCATCAAGAAGGTACAAGTATTTATAAATAGTTGTCTACGCAAGATACTCAACATCCATTGGCCGGATACCATGAGCAATAGCCTTCTGTGGGAGAGAACAAACCAACTTCCAGCTGAAGAAGAAATTAGGAAAAGACGATGGAAATGGATAGGACATACATTACGCAAATCTTCAAACTGCATCACGAGACAAGCCCTAACTTGGAATCCTGAAGGGAAGCGAACAAGAGGAAGGCCAAAGAACACATTGCGTCGGATAATAGAAGCAGATATGAAAACAATGAATTACAACTGGACGGAGCTAGAAAAGATTGCCCAGGACAGGGTTGGATGGAGAATGCTGGTGAGCGGCCTACGCTCCTTCACGAGGAGTAACAGGCGTAAGTAAGTAAGTAAGTAATGTAATAACATTCATTTGTTTATTACTTCTACACGTGGAGAAGAACAGACCAATAGCGTATCGTTTCTAGATGTCCAACTAAGAAGAAGAGTAGATGGGACATTAAAAAGAGGGAAACATAGAATATCTGCAGTTGGACAACATACTTATTTCAATATTTCTCTACCAATCATAATTAAAAGAAAATAAAAATCGTCCCAGAATGATTTGCTCCGACGAAACCGTTGAAGATGAATTGAGTAATATTAATAATCTGCTAAGAAGGGACGGATATTCAAATAAATTCATCAATTAACACATGAATGAAATGGAAATAAGACCGGAGGTAACAATTGTTCCGAAAAAGTCAGTGTTCTTGAAATTACTGTTTCTAAGTGACTCTACCGAGGAAAATAAGACGTAAACGTTAGGAAAATGGGTGGGAGAAACACTTACTTCAGACAAATTGAATGAGGTTTTC